TTCCCGGCTCGCCCCAACTCGAATTCTGGCAGTGCGGGTGGAAACGGACCCTCTACGGGCCCCATCACATGTGGCCAAGGGAGAGGAAAGCCAGGTTCTTGGGGCCCGGGTACACCATGAGGTCCCGTGGGCGTCCGCATAAGTCCCTCGCTGATAGGCCCCCCAGTTGGCGTCACATTGGGGGAGGCCACGGGGGTGGTCGCAACAGCTACTGTGGGCCTGGCGGCATTAACGGCGACAGGAGTGCTGTAATGGAGGTCTCCATGACCGCAATTCTTGACTGGAGTGGGCGCCCAGCTGCAATCGCGCGCGCCGGAGCTTCCGCTCATCACAAAAGCTGGCGGCCCCGAAGGGAAGCCATCCCCGGCGCTTGTGACTAATGTGTCATGCGCGTGGCCTGTCACCGCGGCCGGTCCCTCTGCGCCCCGTGCGCTTTTCAGTCGCCGCTGCGACCCATGCCCCTCGGCGTCGGTTCCCCCCGCCGGCACAAGCTGGGACCCGTTCCGCGCGGCCACCAACGGCGTGCCCTCGCCGCACATCCCGCCCACCGCGGCGTCCTCCCTTGGGGCCGATTCATTCGCCGTCGATTCACCATCTCCAGGGCGTTCATATACCGCGCGGCTCTCACGGCTCCCAATCTCCAACCCACACGCCTTCCCCTGCGCACGCATCCACGCCCGCGGAGTGCCCGCCGGCTGGCATGTCGGCCGACCGACTGCCTCGTTCGCCCGCTCCTCTGATCGTCCAACCCACTCACAAAATGCTGCGACACGTCCCCACGCCGTAGCCCTTCCGGTTACCGCGCGAATCAACCCACCGATGGCCCGCGACATCCCGCCCCATTCGCCGATGCCTTTGTGCCATGCGCGGGGCGCTGCACCGCCCGTGACCCCCGGCCAGTCTCCAGCCACTGTTGTCCCCCCGGTTGTCGCGCCATTCGCGGCATCACCGATCGTTTCCGGCGTTCCCCCGGTCATCGCGCGGTCTCCAACATTCCCCACTTGTCCCCCCACCTCCCCGGCCCTTGCGCCATTCGTAGCCTCTTCCGTCCGCCTCGCCCCTTCTCTGCCCACTGCGCTTTTCCCGGCATCGAGTCCTTGACTCGGCATGGCGCTCAAAGCCGCTCCCATCTCCGCCGAAGCGCGGCCATTCGCTACGCCACCGACATGGTTCGCCATCCCAACAGTCACCGAGCGAGTCACAGCATTCCCCACCGAGTCCCTCGTCTCCCCCAGGCCCGCATGCCAAGTTGCATCTTGAATTCGTCCCACTACTCCCCCGCTCACCACGTCATTCCCAGCGCTGTCCGTCCGCCTCGACGCGCAGCTCGAGGTCGCTCCCACGTCCGCCGAATCTTCCTGTCCCCACCGCTCCCATTTGCGCCAACGGTGGGCGAATGTCCTCCGCGCGTGGAAGGCCTCCCACTGCCGCACTTTGCGCCACAGCCTGCGACGATCTCGGCCGTTCAATGCTCGGCCAAGACCGCCACAGGTCGCTCCGAGGTCGACCTTAATCCCCGGCTCGAGTGCCAGCAAGACAAGCCAGCATATCCACCAGGCTCGCCAGGCCGGTCTCCACGACCGGCGCGACCTGGGCTCCGAAACCATGTTATGCGGTTTCACTGTTCGCGCTCCTCGCTCGCGCTCACACACGGTCGCTCCCAGGCACGGGAAGCAAGCCGCAACCAGATGGATTACAGAATGGTTCTATCTGTCATGTAGCATTCACCGCAAGTGTGTTCAGTTCATATCTTTTCCCATCATTCTCCGTGTCGCCGTAATAAACACCGTATCCGATGCACCACACTCACTTAACTATTCATACACCTTTTTCTTATCCTCACAATATTCATTTTATTATCTTACAAGTCCGGAGCCTTGCGCATTGCACGCATGGTGCTCCTATGGGGTAACCCAGCCCAATGTTTGGTGAATCGGCGGTGATGGACATTTGCGGTTTGTGGGATTCGAGAAGCAGTTGCCAAGCACGGTTGTTGACAAGTTCATCGGAAGTGTTGCACAACTGGACAGCAATAATATATCTTGAGAGCTGCATTAGGTGTTCCACTTGGTGTTCTGTTTTATTGCAACCAGAATCCGACATTTAGGAATGTTGTGATGTGTGCATTGTGTCATGCATATGACGAGATATTATATGATTGCGCCACATGCCATGGGTGCCGCCTAGTTAAGCACGATGTGTTGATCAAAGCATGAGAACCTGAGTTGACAAAACATGTCCTGGATCCGCAACATTCTTTGCATCATATATTCATTCTATGTTGCCGTTGTATTGCACGCCATAAGGCTGGACATGAGCGTACACTGCACACATGGGGTTCTGTGATTAACTTGGTAGCATGGCGTTGTGCTATCAGTTGGATTACCCACAGGTCCCTATGAGGTTTGTGAGGCACCACAAGCGTATATTGTGCCATTGCCAAAGTGGAAATGGTCTTGAGGCCTTGAAAGGGAGCTATGTGGGAACGACTTCAAACCGAGTTCAGTATGTTCACTCATGATCAAGCACAATCATTAAGATTCATTGTTTTGAAGATCAAGTAAAGCACATCAAAGAATGCGCGAATTGGTGCATTAATTAGTGCAAAAACTTGTGCATGGATTGTGCCAAATAGCTGAGTGTGGGGTCGAATCTGGCGATTTGCAAAATCTGCATTTGGCCCATGTGCCCATCTCAAGGATCGAGTCGATCTTTATGCGCCTTGCGCCCCCCTCGTTCACAACTCTTGCCAATGTTCGACAATGTGCCCACCACGCAGAGCACCATCGACTACCCCGACAATGGCTATGGCTGTTCGCAAAGGCCATTGGCATAATTGCCAATCGACAGGGCAGGGTGATTGTGGTGGAGTGGACCAGTGTCGTGGTAATCGAGTTGGTTGTGATAGCATTGCTGTATTGTGCCAGGTTGCTCCTTAGGATCGCAATCGTGCCCACCAACACGCGCTTGTGGAACTTCTCCCTCTGGTTCTCCCTACATGGGCATGGCGACCCCAATTCCAAGCAAGTCGCCTTGCCCATAGATGGGCTCCCAGAACTTTTTTGGTAGAACTGGGATGGGAACGGTATCGGTGTCTGTTCTTTTTCAGCTCCCCGTTCCACTTCTATTCCGCTTCCAACCCTTTCCGGCCCGTTCCAAACCCGCCCCGGCTCGGATTGTCACGTGGCGGGCCGCTGTGACCACCACGGCTGACTCACCCAGCCTCCGCCCAGCTGCCCCTCCCCTCCCAACAGCTCCGGCTGGCCGCACCCCGCCCATGCCCCGCCCCCCCGCCCTGTTGCCTTGCCAGACAGCTGGCCCCCGGGTGATTGGAGTGGGCAAAGGGATGCCGCCTTGTGGGCGCCCGATCTCGCCAGCCGCGGGGGCTAATCGAGGCCCTCGCGGGTGGCGGGATTATGCACCCGGAAGGCGCCGTTTTGTTGGCGAAAAGTGGCGCCTCACGGGCGCCAGATGCCGCCGGCCGTGGAGGCCAATCGAGACCCCCGCGGGTGGCCGGAATGTGCGCCTGCAAGGCGCCGTTTCCTTGGCGAAAAGTGGCGCCTCGCGGACGCCAGATCCCGACAGTCGTGGGGGCCAATCGAGGCACTTTAGGAGGACGCCAATCCAAAATTATCCAGCGGACGGCCCGCCGGCGGTGGGTGCGTGGCGAGCAGCAGGATAGGCGCGAGCGCGAGCAGGGTAAGCACGACAATCACTGCACTCAGCACATGCACAAGTCCAGTACAGCACCGAGAGCCAAAATGGCAGAAGGTGCGTGAACTGTCACGTTCGATTTCTTCCCGCATATGACTTAATATTCTGCTGTATATGCCAGTCAGTATTCTTGAAAGGGGCTGGTGTTTGGGGAGGGGCTCTACTTGGTTATCCTGTTACTTTAGCATATCGTATTTGTTTCTTTGTTGTTTTGGACACAAGCTGTGAAAGGAGTGACAACAGGGTATCTCTGCAAGTCAACAGTGCAGCAACTGAACTGTGCTGTCAGGTAGGCTAAGCAGGATAATACACTTGAGAACTGTGGCACTTCTGTGGACACGACTCTTCAGAGCCCAGTGCAAGACAGGTAAACCCACCCTGGCTTTCCATTTCCCCCCAGGCACACGGCCATCCACAATGCAAGCAGGGAAGAACACTTGTTGTTATTACAGCACGTTCTTTCCTCAGCACACCAACACAGCAGCACATCATGCGCCTACTAATATTCTTCCACGGAGCTCGACAATGCACATGTTGACCTTCATTAACCTCAGCGAAAAAAGTCATCGACAGCAGGCGCGTCGATCTGATTGAATCTCCAGCGAAGAAGGGATCGACAATGGGCACGTCGACCTTAATTACTGTCAGCGAAAAAGGGAGCCAAGGATCGCAGGCACGGGACCGCGTCGCCTCGCCGTCCCCCTGCGATCAATCCACTGGCTTCCCACAGCAACCCATCAGCCACGAACTCGACGTCAGTCGAAATTGAAGACCCAGAGCGCCAATCACGGCGCTGGTCATCCAGGCAAAAGGAATTCTTGCGTGTAAAACAGAGCGCGCACAGCGGGAGCGCACTCTTCAATCCAAAAAAGAAGCTCACAGCCGGGTCCTCAGCAGCTGGCGATCATTTTTTTGGTTTTGGCGGGCGCCGTAAAGCGCCTCGAATTTTGCGTGCTTCGGCTGCGGCCTCCGACTACTTTATATAAACGCGCCGCCCTCTCCAGCCGGCCCTCCAGTCCACCACCGTCCGCCCCAATCAAATTTCAGATATTGTACCCCATTCGTTCAATAGCCTACCCTGAGCGGAGTGAATTCGGCAACGACCCCCGCAGGGGCGGTCTGCCCCACCTGGAAGGCTGCCAAACTCGACTCGACGCCTTTATGACGACCCCGGAAGGCAGCTGCGCTTGCGCCCGCCTTCCCAGGGCGTAGGATTCCCCTTCAGCTAAATCTACACCCGGCCAACCTCCCGGTCCCTTCGTCGAATCCGCGAGGATTTTCCCGCCTCAGCGGAAGGCCAGCCCGGGCACGGGCGACCCCTGCCGGCTCTTCTTGACCGGCAGCTCGATGTCGTCCCAGTCGTCGTCGCTGTGGACGACCCGCCCGCGCTCCTCCAGGCGCTTGACCTTGCGCTTGCCGCGCCATCGCCGCCGCAGGCCGTTGACCTTGTCGGACGGCTCCGCGGACAGGCCCTGCTTCAGACGGTCAAACGCCGCTTTGCTGCAAGGCAATCAAATAAATCAAATAAATCGATTACGTCAAAAAGGAATCGCCAAAAGCTGGGGCAAAAATCTCCGCGAGAGTCGCGCTGGGCACGGACGGGCCCGCAGTGGGAACCGAAGGGCTGGATCAGGAAGGCACGGCCTCCCTGCGCGCGTCAAAAAGGCAACAGCCCTGCTTCAGGCGGTCGAACGCCGCTTTGCTGTGGGGCAATCAACCCACTTCGGCAAAAGGAGTCGCCGAGAACGGCGCAGAAATCCCCGCGAAAGCTACGACGGCTTGGGCGGGGTTGCAGTGGCAAGCGAAGGGCTGGATCAGGGAGGCACTGCTTCCCTGCGCGCGCCAAAGACAAAAAATTTGCGGTGAAGGAGCTTGTCCTTCCGCCACGTCAAGAAGCCCAAGGGCGCCTCGACGGCCCGGCGACGATCCGACTCCGATGGCCGGGCCCTGCCGCCCGCCGCGTCCGGCGCCTTCCCAACCACCGACCCCCCAAGGAAAATTCTCCAGCGGAACAAATCAAAACGGCACCCGGGCGCGGGGCACGCAAATCTAGACACGACTCCCCGCCGCCAAAACGCGATCTCCGGGACGCACCTCCCAAACCTTTTCCATCCACCCTACCATTTCGTCCCCCCACGCGATGACATAGTCACCACGCCCCCCTCCCCCCTTCCCCCCCCACCTCCACCCCACCCCGCCCCACCCACTTCTTCACGGCGCCAGTGTCGTTCACCCTCTCCTTGCATCGGAGACCCCACACCATCTTCTCACACAACGCAAAGCGCCTCACCCCCACTCGCCCAGGAGGGCCCGCTCATCGCACGACCCGATTCCCTCTCCCTCCTCGCAACAAATCCCACCCTCCCCCGCTCGGCACCCTGCATTTAAATCCCCCCCTCCCGCCCCTTGGAACCCGCAGTCCGCCCTCCCGCGCCTCAGAGATCCGCGCCCCCGCCCGCACCTGGCCTGCACCTTCTCCCGCATCCTTATGTTCATCGCCCGCTGGCTGGCGATCCTGCACGTGAACTCCCGCCGCCGCGACTTGGCGATCTCCTCCCTCAGGTCCATGCCTTCCCACCCAAGCTCCAATCCCACTCTGCCCCCCCGCCCTTGCGCCTCTACTCTGTCGCTCAAAAGGGCCACCGCTGTTGGACAAACGCCTTGCCACACGGGGCAAGCCACCAGCCCGTCTCTGGCTCTCCAACTCTCCACGTGACGCTCTGGCCGATCCAAAATATTGCCACTGGGCCCTCGCAGGCTCCTGACTCGCTGCTCAGCCTGTGGCCGTCAGTAGGATCGGTCGCCACGCCGGCCATGGGTGCAATAAAGGGGGTTTAGTCATGGCGTCTGCTGACCGCTCATCCACAATGTTATGTAGTATGTAGATATGAGTGCGCGGACCACTTGTGGGTGTGTGCGTGTAGTTTGGGCTGTACTGACCGCGCATTTGGACCGGAGCGTAGTTTGCGGTGTACTGACTAGTCCCATGGGTGGTGTGTAGTTTGGGGTGTACTGTGGGACGGAGGATTTTGGTCAGGGGGCCAAGGTGGGGTCTGGTGAGACCGGTGGGTTGTACGGCGGGGGAGGGTTGTTGATCTGGTCCTTGTTTCTAATTTGCCGCCGTTCTGGCCGTCAAGTGCCACTGGAAAATAACATAAAAAACATCAAACCTCAAAGTAGGGAAGATATGACGCCACACATGCATGCAACCCATTCTGGATCATTTTCACATCAGCTTGACTTGTAGCCCATGCCGATTCAGACAGCCCTCCTCACAGCCATCGCCGAGGAGTCACACATGCAGAATGTCGACGTCTTGGCTCATGTACTGATTGATGAGTTTGGGCAACTTGAGCCGCAACTGAATTCTGAATTCGATGCACTGGTATGGCACATGTCCGCAACTGCTTGCATATTTCGCTGCTCTGGTGCATGGCTTAAATGGCCAATAATGACGTTTATTGTCCCTTGCCATCGATGACCTGATCCCCAATGTTGCACCATCGTCTGCCCCGGTTCCCTTGGTCCCACACTTCTGCGCGGCCAGCCTGATGCAATCCTGCGCGTTGCTCCAATTTCCCAACAAAAGTGCCGAACACGTCTTTTTGCACTCTTGGGCTGGTGCACCTGTACCGCTGTCTTGTTTTCATCGCCCGCTGCTCAAGCCAGACGTTCGGCATGTCTCCTTGAAAAGTGACGCACTTGGGCACCTCGCGACCCCTCCAACATTAGTATGCTGCATGTCACTGGGGTGTGTAGGGCATGCTCATAATTGTATTGACCTTTTTGTCGATTGGGTGCACTGATGTAGTCTTATTGTTCTTGTATCATTGTCAACAGCATTTTCGCCGCCAATCTAACCGTTGATGATGTTTTTGCACGGCCTAATCCCTGAATTCTGAACCACAAGGGGAGCCAGCTCTTGTGATTGTAATAGTCATCTAATTTTTAATGTAAGCGATAATTGCCGACCCTAACAATGTGGAACTCGTGGGCCAAGAAGCCCTGGCGTCGAAAAGAAAATGAATGCAAGGAGGGAGTGGGGATGGTGGGATTCGAACCCACGTCTTTCCGGCCGGCACCATGGGACTTTTAATAGTCTGACGCCCTGCCCCGCTGCGGGGGCTTTTCGCCGGGGCGGCTGGCACCTGTGGCTGCGTCTGTGCAGTTTGGCCCGTGAGGCTGTGCCTGAGCGATGTTCTCAGGCACGGCCTCTGCCGAATCGGGCTAACTTTGCGAGCCCCTGCTACATCCCCGCTAACAATGGTTGCCCAGAAATATATATACTGTTTAAACAGTATACATCGCTGACCTTTAGGCTCCATGTTCAGCAGTTGCTCCGTTGTTTTCATCAGCCATCAGGACGGCCAATCCGTTGACTCTGCTGTTTTCCATGCCATCGGCATTGCTCTTTATGTTTTCCTGGGTTGCGCATTTGTCTATGGTTGCGTTCCTTATCGGAGGTTTGCGCTTGCTTGCCAGTTCGCAGTCCGCAGGATTAGCGTGCTGGCCTATTCGGTAGGCCAAATTTGCTTGGTACATTGAGACGCATTTTGCATGGCACCCAATACACGGCACACGGAGTTGCAACACAGATACGGAACTGGACGGAGGGGCATGGGACGGGAGTGACGAGAAGTCTTGGAACGGGAGGATAATGGGGATGATGGGAGTCGAATCCACTGAGTGCCGGCCGGCACCCGCCGCCAGACCACTCTTGTGAAATTTGCCGCCACGGCCTGCCGCCACCACCCGTGCCGGCCTGACCGGCGCGAAGGACGGCCGAGCCACGGCCCCCTGCCCAGGGCCACTGGCGTCAGGGACTGTGGCACAGCAACCGCTTCCGCCAGGTTGCCGGCGACAGGGATTACAAGAGGTCTTGACGGCTCTCCGAAGTGCTCCATTTGGGACGGCTCTCAGCCCGCCTGCTACATCCCCCCAAAACTACGCTGTCTGAAAAGCATATATACCATTGAAAGCGCAGGCAATCCCGACCACAGCAGACACCGTTCGGTGAGCTCACTGCCCTATTTTCCCTTCCGTTCCAAGCGCCTGCACCAAGCAGTACTTTCCAGAAACATCTGCGTCGTGCGCCAGAGCCGACCACCCCAGACGCAAGCTGGCGCCCAACTCCCCGACGTCTGATCCGCGGCGACGATGACATTGCTCTGGAGCTCTAAAATGTGACGTAGCATCTTGGAAGATGAAGAACGGTGCCCGCGCACAGAAGCAACGGTGCTGCTTTTCCTTTGGATGCTTTGGGGATTTTGCAGGCGGCTGGCTTCTCCTTTTCCACATGCTGCAAAGATTTTTGATCTTCTGTAACGCCCCCAGCACTGCTGGGGAAGGTTGGGGTGTTCGTTAATCTGCAGCATTTCTGCGATGAATTTTGTTTTAATGGGAGAGAGTATCGGCCAACTGTGACTGTTCCCGACTGGCTGCTGGGAAGTCGGCAGGGGTCAGGGCAGGTCTCGGGAGCATGAGCCACGGGAAGCGAAGGGGGATAGGGTGGTGGGGAGAAAGGGTTGAAAGTGCCAGTGTGCGGGCGGGAGAGTAGTGCCGAAAGGAGGCAGGTGCAAGGAGGAAAAAAGGAGGAAAAAGGAGGGAAAGCGCTGGAGGAAAAGTTGATGGAGGAAAGGGAGGAAGTGGAGGAAAAAGGGAGGAAAAAGGAGGAAAGTGCTCGATTTGCCGTACCGATTTCCATCGAGGGAGGGGAAAAGGGAGGGGAGTGTTGGAGGGAGCAGAGGGAAAAGTTGGGAGGGGAAAGGGAGGGAGTGGGAGGAAAAAGGAGGGAAAGGGAGGAAAAAGGAGGGAAAAAGGGAGGAAAAAGGCAACCTGGAGGAAAGGGAGGGTGTGCTGGAGGAAAGGCGGCTGAAATAGGGCGAGAGCAACCTCGGTCAAATCAAGATTACAATCGAAAGCCTTATCTCGATCCGACGTACCGAACGACAACCATCCTCGGGCCGATGATCGGCCTCTGGCTGCCGCCAGCACTGACAGCCAAGCAATAATCGATCCACCTGACGACCCTTTTATTACCGCGCCGCCATGCCGCCTCTAATGCAATTTCTTTCAAGCTCTCCTGAATCCTCGCCGTTGTTGCCGCCTCGCACCGCTTAGAATAGCCTCGCTCGGCGTCTTCATGCTACTTCATACTACACCATACTACCCGACGTCATCATATAATATAATCTACCGTAGAATGCAAAGGAACCGTAGTATACCGTAGTATATCACGGCGTAATCTACTGCAAAATGCGAAGCGCCACATTGCCCAGATGGGTTTGCCCACTGAGCGAACTCTTTGTGAAAAAGTCCTCGCCACCAACAAGCCTGCCAACCTATCCCGAATCTGCATGGAATCAATTTCCAACCTTATGCGCAAATGCACTCCTACTACAGCCGGCCCATCGCCGGGGATAATAAAGCCACCACGCTGCCCACTTCCAGGCCAGCACATCCCTCTTCAACTCCACCAGCCGCCTCCTGGCACCCTGGGCTGCGCCACACGACCTTTGCTTGCGTGGGTGCCACAAATTTGCTTCACATAGCTCTGCAGGCGACTCTGCACAGTCAACGCCGTTTCGGTGTAGAGCAAGAGCGGAAGAACACACCCAATTTGCCCTTCAAGCCACCAACACGTGCACAATCCACTCCCTGCATCCCAGTTTGTCCACATGCGCCCCGTTTCCTCTCCTCCTCTTGATGCGTGTGAACAACGGGATCAAAGCCGCGGTCAAAACGCGATGCACCCAGACACAGCGAGCTCCATAACGCCAAAACCGGCGCAGAAACCGACATTCAAAACTTCAAAAACAAGTTCTACCAACCCCTCAGCTTCCTTCGCTTGGACTTGCTGCTCCCCCGCCTGGGCTCCACCGCCCCGCCCCCCCTTGTGCCCTCCCCTCCCTGAGGGGCCCCCGCCAACACGGACACCCCATCCCCCTCCACCCCCACGGTCATGGCATCGGCCTCCATTCTGATGGTTGCCACCTGCTCGCCATTGTGACCACGCAGGGCCTTTGGCTCGTCCCCCTCTTCCAGCAGCAATGACATGACCTCCTCTGGGGCAAACAGGTCGCCCCGGTTGGACTGCCCGGTCATCACGAGCTGCTGGACGGTCTTCTTCTCTCGTGCGCGCTGCAGGATCTTCTCCTCGATCGTGCCCCTGCAAAGGACAGGCTGAATGTGTGAGCCCAAGTCTTGCATCTGGCTTTGAGATCTTCTGAACAGCCATGTTTCAGAAAGAGACAGCTCTTCAGCACAGGCGAGGCCAGTATCAGCCACTTCAGTGCTGCGGTGCAAGACCAATTCTAGGGCTCAAGCAGCACATGGGATATGTTCTCCAGATGCTCCATGTATCCAACAGAGTCAGAGACGGACCAGCCAGTGTTTCCAGACAGTCTTATCTGGCCCGCCTTCCAAAGATATGCACAGTAAAACATCTGTACATCTGTACAACACTGCGTTCATATTCACGCTCATCTGTGCCTTCGACTGAGACTTGCCCCCTGCTGGCGCAGCTAGGCACAGAAATAGCCAACCATCATTTGTTCAACATCCCAAAAGCACAGTTCACCGCCCGTTTGCAGTTTACTTCATACTCGTTTGCTGTGTATGTTTGCTTGCAGGGACCATTGGGTTGAGTTGTGACCCGATACAACTGCAACTGCATTATGCATGTTGCCTTGAATATGGTAGACATGTGGCTATGGCGACTTGCAAGAGAGCCACATCCTGTGTGGTGTTGTTCTCTTGTGCTGTGGATGGGTACCTACATTCACACCTTTACCTTTACACCAAGCATCGTTGGGCTGTCTTGTCGAGGCTACCCTCAAAACAATGTGAGGAATGACTCTGTTGTGCTGTGACACCACCCTCAAAAAAGTGAAGCTGGCAACACAGTGCCTCCTTTTGTTAAAGATGCATCCACTCTGCAACTCTACCTGCATATTAGGCGATACACTGTCACGTTGCGCGTTTGCCCCAGGCGATGTGCCCTGTCCATAGCCTGCAGGTCCATCGTGGGGTTCCAGTCCGACTCGAAGAAGATAACAGTGTCAGCACCTGTTGTGGCAGTTGTTAGCACCGATGGGCACAAACTACAAAGGCCAGATGTGTCCACAAGTAGATAGTTCTGTTTGAGATATTCATGACCAAGTGGTGTAGCAGGTGGAACTATTCTGTGTTGCCACACGTGGAATGTGAAGGTCAGTTCTGTCAGAGCCTGCTCAGCACACTGAACACAAGCAAACAACAGCCACTCAAACTCTAGCCCAGCCCTTCCGTGCCTGTCATTTGTGTGCATGAGATAACCCTGCACATTTCATCGTCTGCACCTTTACTTGTCAACTGTCTTTATATCGTCAGCTTTAAATTATTGCACATCAAACAGACAGTAAAGCTAGGGGATTCATATGGCTCTGCAGCAACTGGCTATGCCATGGACAGTAGCTTGTGAGCCATTGCATACACACAGCACACAGCGCATGACGTTGATGGGTTGCTGTATGGATCTATTTGGGGTCTCATATTTATTGCCCCTGACACAATAAGATGGCATATTGCAAGACCAAAGCCCCCACAAAGCTCCCTTCTGAACCAAGGCATTAAATCTGTCGCATCAAAGCTCAAACGACTGCACCCATGTTCACTACTATGTGCTTTGTACTGTAAGCATTCTGGTGCCATTGTGCAGCAAGGTGATGCAAAATCAGCCAAGGGCAACCCCAGCAATGGTCCACCTGTGAGGTTGATCCCCAGGCCGCCAGCCCGCGTGGATAGCAGGAAGACAAATATGTCGGGATTGGATTGGAAGGCCTGCACCATGTCGCGACGGTCGGATATGGAGGACTGCCCATCAAGACGCAGGTGGCGGTACCGTCTGTAACAGCTTGGAAAATTCAAGTCAAGGGCGAGGAGAAATCTCAACGGTCAGCACGCAACTGCCACTGCCCAAGTATGCATTGATAAAAAATTATCATGGAGTGGCAATGCATGACTTGCATCTCATCCTGCAGCCCTGTTCCTGAAGCAGTAGTCTTTTAAGGGCCTGTCTTGGGATTGAGAATACACAAACTGCTAAAGGGACTGCAGTTTCAGCCAAAAGACCATAGTGCCGATTGGATGCCACCAAGCACAATCCCTGATCCTGAAAGCCTTTGTCGGAAGTGATGCTGAACACAGAATGTCCAGAACACAATTCCTCAAAATGCTAGAAAACAACTTTCAATCTGAGAGGTCTACAAGTGTGTGGAACTGCGATTATGGGATGTTGAACAGGCACTGAGCAGGTACCTCTGCACCCGTAATCGCCTGCAAAGGTGTGAGTTGCACCAAGTTTCATGCAACTGGACCCACCCACAATAGGACAAGTCGCACATTGTGTTCATCGCGGCCATGCTCAAGGTCCTTCACACACTGTGCGACCAGAAGCATGAAACAGAACATGCAACCAGTAGCAATTTACCACACCCACCTGAAATTGAGGTAGTCGCACAAGATGTTCATCATCATGGTCATCTGAGAGAACAGGAGAACCCTGTGGCCCTCTGCCTTCAGCTTCCTCAGCAGCACGTCCAGCCTCAACAGCTTGCCTGAGTCCACTAGTGCCTTGGCCAAGGCGTAGTGCTGCATGGGGGGACAAGCGCCAAAAGCCCGATGCAAGGCCCACGCCATGGGCATGTGCATTGGCTCGTGCAGACACCTGCTGATCATCTCCATCAACGCTGAGGGGGCGCCAGCAGCGAAGTCTGGGGCAGAGCGAACGTTGGATGATCCAAAGAGCAGTCTGTTGAGCCAGGGCGATGACTCCAGCGCATTCTGCTTGTGTGCAAATGCCCTGGGCAATGGGAACAAGGCTACGTGTTGAGTGTATATGTGAATTTGTATACATCCTTAAACGAAAACCAAATACAAAATGTGCCTTTCCCAGCATGGAAGCCCAACAAGGCGATGCCACGCATCACCCAAAGTTTACAGAGTGTGGCAGAATGTCTGTGTTATTGGGATGGATCCAAACAGGCCCACCAAAAGAGTGTGAAATTGTGTGCATATTGCGCACACAAGGCCAGGAGTCATAAGAGTTGCATTGGGCACATGTTGTTGGTTCTGCAGAAATGCAAGCTTTTCAGGTCCAAGCCCAGCACACCAGGTCCACATGATGAAAGGGTAGAGTTCTCCTTGTCAAGTTGGTGTGTGTTCTGTGGAAATTGTCTCTGCCACACGTGTCAGAACAGGGGAGCAATGCAGCCTTTGCCGTGAAAGTCTGGAGGAGGCACCAACCCAAGGAGGTGAAAATGAACTCAAAGCAACAGTGACACAGTGTTGGTGTTCCTAAATTAGTCGTCAAACAAGCAGACTGGAGCCTCGTTTGTCTCCCAGCACTACAGGCCATACGGATTTTGATGTTGAAAGATATGACCAACAGGAAATTTGTAACTTTAAAGTCGGAAATTTTGGAAAGGAGGGCTTAATTGAAGATTGGAGCAAGTAGAACAAGAAACAAACTCTTGAAAGATGGGCAAGATTCAAAAAAGTCCCTCTCCATAAATGGATTACAAGCGGACAACCTGGACAACAATAGTTAACCAACAGTTTCCACACAGCGTGATGGCTGTTGTTATGCTGGCCAACATTGTGTCAATAAGCCTGCGCACCTGTCTGAACAGATCACAAGTGGTGGGGGTGCCAGCACAGGTGGCACGAAGCCAGGCCGGATCTTTCTCAGCACATTCAGCAGCGAGTACAAGCGCTGCTCGCAGGAGCGCACCAGTGGTCCACAGCCCACGGAGTCAGCCGCCACTGGTGGGCTCCTGAGCACTGCGGAGTCAGCATTCAAGTCGATGATGAGTAGCCGGCGCGAGCGGCATGTTGCTGGAAGGCTGGGTGGCCTAGGGCTGTCCCAGTGACTCTCCCAATGCCTCGCTGCAGCACTGCAAAACCAGAAATGAGGACCATTAGTCTATGGCTTCGAGCTGTTGCGAATATTGTGCTGCTGCACATTCAAGTCTTTCTGAGCATTCAGGCACCATTTACGTTGTCAGCCAGAAGGCAGAAGTTGGGACTGGCAGAATCAAGACTCCACCGCTGCATCACTGTTCTGTTTGAGCATTTTGCCTGGCCCCTGAAGCATAGGGGATAGTGGACGACGATTTGGAATGCAAACAATAAGTATTTCATAGTGGCTCAAATATGCAACATTTATCACACATAGCATCTAAGCAGTAATGTTAGGGGTACCCTTCCCATCCTGGAAAAATAAAGGAGACTTTGAGGCTAGAGCCAGGGGTGCACTACCTGCCATTCCGACAGTTCATCGCCTCCAACATCCACCTCTGCAATGGGTCGGCCATCGAATAAGCATGCAGCTCGCAAGTTGACAGCCCGATGTGGCGGGAAAAGGGAAACGCGCTCATTGCACGCCCCTCCTCACATTCCTGCAACGAGCTGTGCACGTTCCATGGGCAGAAGACATTCAGCCTGTTGTGGACCCACTTGTTCCAAAAGCCATTTGGCAAGCCTGAACAAAAGAAGCAGGAGAAAACTTAGACTATATTACTTAGACTATATTCAACACTACTACTACATAAACTACTGAAACTTAAACTACTTAAGACTACAACTGAAAACCTAGACCATATTCAAGACTACTGCAGTGGAATAGGACAGTTCTCAGATAGAAACTTGTGCCCTGAACACACTTCAGTCAAATCGCAGTGGCAAGATCAGCCCCATTCTTCCGTGTGTGAGTTTGACTGTTTTCATGAAATGCATAGGCTTTCTTTCAAGACTCTTGCTTTTCTGTAGTTTGTCATTGGTTTTAACAACAAAAAAGGGATGCTCACGAATTTGGGACAGATCTTGGACAGTGTGGTAATGCCGACACAGCTGCAGGGGCTCGATCTGAGGTAATGCACAAAACCCGCTCAAACCACAGAGTTGTCATGGATGCTGTCATCATTGTTGCTGATATTTTAGCCTCTATGGTAATGCGCTTGCCTGAATACCCAGCAACCAACTGCACAAACCTGCAGTTTCGGCAAAACTACACCCACAGTGCCAATATGTTGTTGCAGCTGCTGCACAACTTGGCATCACAGACACAGTTCCTGGACTGGCCTTGTCAGCATGCATGAACCTTACATAGCAGCCAAACATACTGGATTTGCAGGCTCAGCTTCAATGGTGTGTTTCTTCAGGAACCACAGATGCTGTACAGCCGCTAGACAGCATGGTGCTGCTGACACAGCACAAGATGCTGCAGGAAGCCTGCTGCTCTTGTTTCAGTGATCGCAAGCTATTAGGCAGCAGCATGAGTTCGTGCATGCCTCCAAAGCCTGCCTCTACAGTTGTTGAAAAGCAGCAAGAACAGCTCGTCCATCTGCATGGCGATGTTGCGCACAAGTCGCCATGCTGATTCTCTGAAGTAACATTGCCAAAACTCGCAACTGCACAAGGAGCGTTCAACCTCCAAGCCTGGCGGCTGACACTGTGACAGCGCTGCCCGCAGCTTGTAAGAGATTTTGTTTATTTATTTTTTTTAGATTGAGCATGGACCTTGTCTCACCTCGCACTATCTTATGATGCAAGACCATGTTGCGTACGTTCCTCAACAGCAGCAAATTCTTTTGCACCTGTTAAGCAATGCAGTACTCCCAACGCGTTTTGCAGTGCTCAACGGTCCAAAGCACCACCCATGCGCACCTGAGTACACTGTTTGCACACCCATGTTCTCCCTGAAGACGAGCTTTGGAAGCTTGTACACCACTTCAGACCTTTGGCCCGACCAGTACACCTGCTGCAGGCCGCCAAAGCCTGGGGGACTCAAGGGCGGAGGGATCTGGGCAAAGTGCAGGGGGACACGCTCGCTCTGCTCCTCAAACAGCTCTGGGTGGTTGCACACCTGGGCAGTAGCATTCTGTGTCAGGACTCCTTTAGGTTAGGGCAGGGTAGATTGGTGGGTTGGGGTGTTCGCTTGTGCAGCTGGGCTCGAATCGGACAACTGTGGCAGTTCATGGGCCTGCGTGTTGTGGTCACCTACCTGTGACATATGCAGTCAATTGCAGAAACAGGGACAAATAAATCAAGGGAAATTCAAAAACATCAAGTGCAGGACAATGCATGAAAACTTTAGCCTTGTGGTGCAAAACGTTGTTTGTCCAACAATTTGCTGCCATTTAGCAGTTTCACACTGTGGTGCAGGCTTCACAAGTTACAGAAGGGAACAAGCCTTCAGCAAAACACTACAGTACTGGCTCGGTGCCCAATGGCAGAATTAAGCACATCACTTACCCGCCATCAGCTTGTGACAAATGCAACACACCCAACCACAGAAGCATAGCCACTGCCCACCTTCCTGAGCTGAATCACCAAGTTCATCAGGTTCACGACTTTCTTCTCGTCTGAGTCGAATAGGTCAGCCAGGTTGAGATTCTCCCGAATCGCCCTGTACAGGATCCGCTGCCGCCTCGATAGCTCGCAGAACACAAAGTGCTCCTCCTTAGCCATCATCTCACCAGCAACGTCCGCCTTCACACGACGCAGCATGAATGGGGACAGGATTGTGTGCAGACGTTTCAGCTGCTCCTTGTTGAGCTCCTGGCTACCCTCGGCATAGCCCTCCAGCCCCTTTGAGAACCACTCGTTGAAGTGCTCCATGCTGTCAAAGAGTGTGGGCATTATGAAGTGCAGGAGCGCCCACAGCTCAGCCAGATTGTTCTGCACAGCAGACACGACAACGATTTCTACATCTTTGTCATCAGCTAATTATCTGTGCTCCCATTCTGTACATGTGCCTTAACTTTTCTTTGCTTATGCTGGATCATTTGATTGCATTGGTTGAGATATTGTGGTTTTAGGCCCTGCCATTTTACTTCCAGGGCAACACATCAGTCTACAGCCCAGGTGCAGCCCCTATCCCAACAGAGGACATTTTGGCCATGAGGTGCGTAGCCTGGGATGTATACACAAACTGCAGTTTTAACGAGTTCTGTAGAGTATTTCTGGCTGCAGTGCATGACTAATCACCGCACATGAACCATGCCAGCGATGACAGGGATGGCGGCTTTCGTTCCTTCCCAAGAAGCTTAATTCCACAAATCTTAACAGATTGGCTTTCCACTATTAGCAAACACCATGCGCCAGTGACTGGATGCCCTATTTTTGTATTCCAAAATGTTCAAAGAAGGGAATGTGCAATACATAAACATGCACACCACACAGCAACAAAAAATGCACATACATGCAGGCAAGATGCCCTTGATGACCACACTGCGTACCTGTGGGGTAGCACAAACACCTCAAAGATGAAAGGACTGCGCTTTCCCAAGTTGTTGGCAACTGGAGGGCTGGCCCTTCTGTACATGCAACTGGCACAGGGTTCCTTGCAGGGCACAGTGACAAGGGCTTGACATGGGGCAAGACACTCACAGTGGAGCACAGCGGTACCATTACATGTACACTTTGTGCCATACACTTACTACATGTACCATTACCTACATACTTTGTACCACATACTTACTACTTGCACCATAACATATATACTTATAAGTGCAAATCGACTGCCATGACAGAACATGACATCACCTGGCAGATGCAAGGGCAGCCAATCACTTTGCCATTGTCATGCCACATAACAACTCCAGTCAAAATGATTTTAAGCATACCTGAATGGGGGTCCCTGTCAGCAGAATCCTGTTCCGGCAGCTGAAAGACAGCAGTGTCCTCCACCGCACTGAGGAGCTGCTCTTTATGGCCTATCCAACAGCGCAAGGCACAACAAACTCTCAAGCAAGGATGCGATTCGATGTCGTTGGCAAATGGCATCAATTTCTTCTCACTCAAGGAGCTTATTCACATTGATGTACAAGCAGTATTGCTGATTTGTTGCCTCTCGACTTACACAGAGTGCCCTCACTAGTAGTCCACATCCTGTGTCAATAGATCTCCAAAACCAATGCAAATTAAGTACGTACAAATCTGCAAACACAATAATTCATGAACAAAGCAAGCCCGTCCACAATGCACTTAAGCAAGGGACCCATCCCAGCAATGTGGCCAGCACTGCCCAGCCACGCTCGAGTGCACTGTGCCCTGCCTGTGCCTCGTCCAGCATCATGAACTGCCACTTCACCCTCTTCAAATGCGCTTCATCCTGCACCAGGATCTGGTACGAAGTCACAGCCACATGGAAGGGCGCGCTCTTTATGTACAGCTTGCGAGGGTTGAAGGACTGCCTCAGGGTCTTCCTGTCCTGCTGTGAACCCCAGTAGGGCAGCACCCTGAAGGCCGGGAAGAACTGGGCCAGCTGTGTCAAAGGCAGTTGGCAGGTGATTAGTCAACAGTCAGGTACACTCAGCTTGTAGCCAACATTGCCAACATTTCTTAACATGATGTTAGCTAACCAGGCCTCTTGAAACTCCTGCTGATCAACTGGCTAACTGTTGCACCCACCCCAGTTGCCCATCTGGCTGCAAATGCCACTTCTTGGACACATCGTTGGCAGATGCAATATAAGTAGGATCGTTACGAGCTGGCATAACCAAAAGAAGCACAAAACAATCAACAAAGCCATGGATATTGACCCTGACAATCGAGATATGGCGCTCGCCTCATTGTCCCAGTTGTGCAGCGTTGATGCCGGAGCGACCACAAGGAATGGTCCCCAAATGTTCTTCTCTTCCGCCAGGTGTGCCATGAAGGCGATGGCCTGGATCGTCTTGCCCAGACCCATCTCGTCTGCCAGAATGCCATTGAGCCCCTGGTCATACAAATTCACAAGCCACTGCAGGCCCCGCAGCTGATACCCCTTGAGCTCGCCCTGCATGCAGAGCACACCCGTACAGTTTGTGATCGAAAAGATGAGAAACATGATAATGATGTACTGACAAAACTGCAGAGTGCACCTGCACAGGCCGTGCAGGGCAGCAGCCCCAGAAACGAAAACAACATCAACACATTAGACGAGAGGAAATACGAAAATGGAAGCAGGCAGATGCACATTAGCAAGGGCAAAACGCATGCTGGCCAATGGTCTGCTCCATTACCAATGAGAGAAACTGGCTCAACACATTCTGGGTCGTCCGTGCTGAAGTCCAATGTGCAAGTGAAATAACAGCACTCCACTATAAAACTCAGTCCATAGAAGACTAGATATGGCGGAGAATACAGCATAAAGCACAAGAAGGGAATAGACCAGAGAGAAGGAGTCAGTGTGCCTGCGCATGAAAGCAACAACGCCACATGCTGCAACTTGCTGTAGTTACAAGTACATACTGCAACTACCTGGCATTAGTACCCATTTCCCTCTCATGGGGACAAAGCCATTCTAGTATCCACTGCCCAGTGTTCCAATCCACCTGGAAGTGCAGGCACAGGCGCTAACGTGACTTCGGGTTGGATGACTGCACACCTCAACAGCTGTTGCTAACCTGATCTGTGGGGAAGGACATTGTTCTGTTGTTGAGAAGCTTGAGGCCAGTGGGCTGTGCTTGAGAGGCAGGCAAGAAAATAAGAGATGCCCAGATCGAACATTGGGTACAGAGAGGGCATCTGCTTGAGCGATGGAGGGAGATAGGAAATGACAAGCAGTTACAGGGCTTCACTGACTTGGCTGAATGGGGAAAAGGAGTCTGGAAGTGAACAGCAGCAGCAGCACTTGGGGAATTTCGTTTGTACGAGCCTTGTTGCTTTGCTCGTGACATTTGTGAAGTTCGGCAGTTGTCATCGGTGAAACAGCTCACCATGAAAACTGGGGCATGATGTGCCGTGGTTGTGATGCGCCGTGTTTGCGATGCGCAATCGCACGTAGGCAACCCATAGAACAGGGCGCTGTATGTCCTTCAGGTGTGGCTTGGTTGACGTGTTGCTGGTTTGGGTAGATAATGGCTGTGCAGAGCGATTGATTATGTACGCACAGTTTGGCAACGTGTCTGGATACATTTCCTTTGCTCCGCGTTCAACTCTGTAGTTGGACAGGTGGTGTGAATGTTGTGGATGTTGTGATGTCCAGCACTTTGCACCTATCTTGGTGTTGCTATTGTCTGTACAACAGTTCTTGTGTCATTCCCACCTCACTGCTACCAATGCAAGGTCTACGTTTTCAAGATTTCTCTGCCCGTTTCTTGGATCAAGGCTCAAACCATGTTTGTATTCACGACCTTGTCTTGGGATCCATCCCTCAGTTTGGAGGTCACCATACGGACACCGATGCCAACGATACCAAACATGGTAATGACAATATTTTATAGCAGCGATAATAACAACAACAACATAACATTAGTACCAATACTACAAATATTAATATGGGAATCATACTGTAGAAATGCTGGCAACATCTGCTTTCAAAAGCAGACTTTATACCAATGGCACAAGCTTTGCTAGAGCTGTGGCTTCTTCAGCATTTTCGGTTCTTAGGATACGGGCACGCTAAACACTGAATAGCTTGCAGCTTCAGCAGAGCGATCAAGATTTCAGCAAAAGAGGTGCAGCGCCAACTGGTTGTCCAGGCAACACAGGACAGGGGAGTGCCGTGCGTGTGCATACGCTGAATCCCTGGGGCTGCTGCACGTCAGATGTCTTGGGCATTGAGGAAGGGTTCAGAAGGCTGTCCCCCTTTGGAGGATCTGTGCTTTCATCGCCCGCCCTCTGCTGTGCTTGTCGATACTCGTCATCAAACTTGTGCATCCGTTCTGCTGCGGACTCCACAGCAGCCCGCGCCAACTCCTGGGCCTTTGCAAGCATCTCTGCTTCCTCAGCTGCAGAGCGGAATCGCACACCAGTTGCTAAGCCAGGACTCCAACTTTGCAAACTGCGACAGAAGAACATGGGATAGGAAGGCGTTGCAGTGTCATGGACAACAGGGTTCAGAACAAGGCACGCATGGGATTTGTTTTACGTGCCCAACATCGGAACAGTAGTGTCAGTTCGTTGGCGCACGCATCAGCCTCATCAGCTGGTGCAGCACCGTAGGTGTCCTAATTAGTGGTGCTGGCCATGCACTAATGACTGGCTGCATCAGCAGCAAGTTTGCCACACTGTAAACAGCCCCTCTGGATATTCCAGCATGCAGGTTTGCCAAGATGGTTGTCAGGCCACATTATGGGTCAACGGGCAGGATGGCATGGGACTGTGGCGACCACTGTTGGGTGACTTTAGCCAAAGTCTGATTCTGCCGACTCAAAATGATCAACTGATGCTTTAGTTCATGCACTGCTAGACTGATGCACATCCGTACCATCCCCAGCCTGGGCTTGCAATGGCGGTGGCGGCGGTGCGTCGACTCCACACCCCAGTTTGTGGCCCATGAAGTGTGAATACAACTCTGTCTGGCCAAGTAGAAAATTTAGGCGCTGCTGTTGCCGCCTCTGCTCCCTCTCTTCCTCATCCCTCTTGCGTTGTTCGGCAGCAGCTTTCTCCTCCTGGAACACACAAGGAACCGCACAAAACCAAATTAGGGTGGCTTGAGATGCGGGATCGGGATAACATGATACGTGATTAATGATATGGGATATGGGGCTATATGGGATATGGGATTATATAGGATATGGGATTACATTACATGGGGCATGGGGCTACAGAGGATATAGGACTATATGACGTCAGTTTTCAACTGGCAGTGATATACTAGCCCGGCTTGTATTCGGAGAGCTTGGAAAGGAACTTTCGGCCCCCACTTTGTAGTGAAAGCTTGACATGTGTCAACCCAGCCCAGACAAAGACAACTTGGTACACTGACTTCACAATTAAAGTGTAGCACAACACAAGGAACAATATGAAACAAAACAACAAAGGTAACAGCACAGTGCTTTGTTGGCACATGCAACAACAACTGAATGGAGCACTTAGCTCCATCCCAGTAGATTCCAGCAGATGAGGATGGGTGGCGCACTACTGGTGGTACTGCTCATAAATCTTCAGCAATCAGCATCAGTGCCTCACCGGGTGGTGCAGCGGACTTGCATTCTTACATTCATTTCTTCGGGACCTGTGCTTCTCTTGCTTTTTTCGTTTTATGTGATGACAAAATTTGGGTGCTTCTTGAGACAGCCATTGTAAAGCCCTTGCAGTCTGCCGGAATTGCTGCCATTTGACAATCTGAGATGGGCAGTAACGTGTGCTCTCACAATGTCATTTGGGCTGTGCCTGTGGTGATACATATACAAATCAAAATATCTTCTCAACAGATCTAGTTCCTGATATGTTTCTTGGGTGGGGTACATACCACCTGCTCTCTTGGGTGTGGGGGATAGGGTGGCCACGAAATGCGGCACACAATTGGGCAGGCCACATGCCGTTTGCATGTCAACAAACTCGTTCTAAAGTGTGTAGACCATATTGTCTGCAAGGTTACACTCATTCACACACAAATCATTGTTCTTTCTTCTTTCCCCATTTGCCAACAAGCTGATCCTGCCTGACTGCAGTCTTTCTCATTCGCAAATTGCTCTACAAGGCATTCCAGTCCTGGTGGTGGCTTTACGTTCATGCAGTTATAATCTTGCCGAAACTGTTGTCTTCCCAATAGTTTGGAATTGGGCTTCACACTGACTGCTGAAGAGCAGTTAGTTGTTCTTTTCAGCAATATAATTCTACCACCGCTTTTGATGCCCTTGGTGCCACCTCTACCCGAACAGAAGAGATGTGGACCACTGCTGTTATAAGAGAAGCATTACGCTTCCAATTTTCCGGCCTTTGTATGCACAATTTGCAACTATCAGGGCGTGCTACTATGATCATCAGATACCAACGACAGCTCAGCTTTGTTCAATTGGATGTTATTCGACCTATCGTCATCATCCAGGCAGCAGGGATTTGCTTGCGATGTGCCTGTCCGATCCCAATGAATTTTCAAATCCTGCCATTATTCCATGAATTGCAGCTGCCACAATAGCCATGACAAATGAACCCATCGCACTCTGCCGATGACGAGTTGACGAATGCAAGCCCCCCAAATAACGAAAAGCATGTTTAGGGAAGGCTGGACCTGAGGCCAAAATACTACAAAGCACTGAGCGACAAGTCCCATGCTCACTCTGCCCGAAAGGGCACTCCCACCCACACACCTGCTCCCTAGGCTCAACCCTGGAAAACAAATCAAGCAAAAAGCACACCAAAATGAAAACACACTGGAAGCAGAACAACTCAACCTGCCTGTTTTCTGGCGTCAGCAGCCTCTTTGTCCGCTTTCTTCCAATACGCCAACATGTCCTTTGCCAGCTTCTTCATGACACCCTGCATCTTGGTGGCCTCCCTTGAGACCCGGGCAACACGCTGCCTCACCTCCCGGCGGCAGAACTCAGCAAGCTTCTTGGCGTCCTGACTCTGCGACACCCATTGGCATGCAACATGCATTAACCATTGACAGTGCACATTACTTTCTGAACAGGAACAAAAAGCCTGACAAAGTGCATCAACTTTGCAATCAGCAATAATGCTGATGGCGTAAAATGGCACACAATGTACTGCAAGTTGGACAAAAAAACTGTGCCCCTGAAAGTGGGGTCGGCACCCAACAGGAAACGTCCTGCTGGCACAGTGCCTCACTGCCATACCTTCATGTGTGCATAAGCAGAGCCACACACAAAACTGGAAACACATGTGCATTATGCCATGTGCCATCATGACACGTTCCAAGTGTACAATGGCAGGTGTGCTGTTGCCTGTGTTGACAATGCACTGACATGCACAGGGTGCCACAACAACAATTGCCAATCAACTGCTCCACACCTCCTCTGCCCTGGATTACAGACTGCTCTTGTTTTTAGGACCACATTTGTGCCATTCAATTGTTATCTGCTTTTCAAATCACGCCAGGCAGCCCACAGAGAGTATAGACAGAGCCACCAGCCCATCGCAGAGAACGGCCTGAGTACGACTCAGATTGAAAAGGTTGAAAATTCCCAGCTCTCGTTTAAACTGCCAAAATTGCAACTGGATCTTGAAAGGCCCCATTACAAAGAGGGGAACAGTAAAACAACTCTTTTGCATCTCTCTACGGTTCAGTGAGAGCAGGAGATTTTCATCTTTAGCCCTGGGTTGTATGGCTTCGCAGTACTGCCAACTCCTCTACACTTCTCCCTTCCCTACGATTTGTGGATGACACAGTCCATACATACGGTGGGTGGTCTGGGCTCTGTGGCGTGTGCCCTGGTGCTGTCTTGAACTAAGAGACAACAAGCACATGAACCAAATGTGGCCCTCAGACAACAGCGCTCCTGCGATTCTGAACAGGGGAAGCAACAATTCACCACAAACTGTCAAAAGGCTGGATGCAGGTGCAAAACTGTGCACAGTTTCTTGGGGTGCCGGGCAGCACATTGTGCTCTACTACACAACACCGTACAGCCTGCACTGCAGCACACATATTGTACTGTAATGTACGTCGGGGCACCTGTTTCTTGCAGAAAGTCTGCCAATTGCGGTACGTCCTGGGCAAGTCCCTCTTCACCATCCCTGCCCAATGCTTTCGGACCTCAACCTCCTCAAGCCGGTCTCGGAGCTCGGGGTTGGTCTGCGCAGCTTTTTTAAGCACACTCCTCTGCTTTGGGGTTATCTGTTGAATACAAAAGCGCCACCACTCAAAAATGGACGCACTATATGGCAGCAGATAAAGCACTGACTAATGTACAGGAACACACAGCATGGGCGACTAAGTGGTGGGCAAGTTGACGCTGCTGGGGTGCCGATGCTTTGCTTCAACTACACATTTGGTTAGCCAGGGCCACTGCTTTGAAGCTGTCCGCAGCAGGCACAAGGTGAAAGGGAACAAAGAAGGGCGAGCAAGCAACAAAGAGAACAAGGAAAAGTGTAAAACGATAGGGAATAAAGAGAAAAGCAAAGTAAACAACACAAACAAAAATGAAGAAAGAACAAACTAGAGCATGCAAGAAACAGCCAATGAGACTGGGCAAATAAGAAGCCAAGACATGCAAGAGCATCTGCATTTTGCAATATACAAAACATCACTGCCATTTCCAATACAAAGACCACAGCAAGCTGTGCGATCGCCCTGCCTTGTCAAGTCGCATGTCAGACCACTCCGACCAGTCCAGCACAGTGACTTTTTTCTCCTTGACCGCTTGAGATTTCTTTGCAGGAACTGTGGCGTTGTGCAGCTGCTGGAGCACTGCAGCTGCCTCATGAACAGCCTCCACATCACTGTCTTGCACAGCTTCATTCTGCTGCAACAACACCGTACGTCTCAGAGACGTGGAGCTCTGCAGGAACAAAATCATAATTTGGAAGCAGCGGTTTCACTTTCTTCTGTCCTTTTGCTACATCTTGCAAATATCTTATATGAATTCAATCTTGTGCAAAAAAAAGCAGTATATCAAAGGAATATAATACATACAATAAAGAACAACAAGGGGTACATGGACAATAAGTGTTTGGTGCCGGTCAGCATATTTGCAGTATCAACACCAGAAAGTGTCTTGCTCTTTCCCAGGTCTGTAGGAGCACTAACTGCAGTGATGTTCTGTAGATTATGTGCCGAGCAAAGTAATCAGGCCACAAATCCCATATTTCATCCATCAGTGGATCACACAGGTGGGCAATCACTTCTGGCGCCTCAACTCCATATCAACCGCAAACAGCACAGGACAACATCTGAATGGCACATGGGGGCCTCTTTGCATTGAGTGCATCTTGAGCAGGAGGCAATCTAACCAAACGTTTGCCTCCCATTGCATCACAGAACAACTGTGGCAAAATCCGGGGTTGCTTTTTGACAACTGGAAAAGCACCCACAGGCAATAACAGCAATTCCCTCCGGTGGAAACGATGCAATCAAGGCAGAATTCATCATACTGTGGGTCTTGCAATCTGGCAAAATGCTGAAAACACTGATTGAATGCCATCCAAATGCATGTCAGGAGTTGGCAGAAGGGAGATACATCCAATTCCATGCCCAAGACGAATACGTCTTGAAGCACCACAACCCAAAAGAAGCAGGTCTTGAAGCACAACAGTCCACTGCCCTCCCCTGAAAAGGCAAGAGGAATTCAAGCGATACTCTACCAGCCAGAATTCCTTTCCCCACCACTCATACCCTTTGGCAAGCACTGATCCACAACTAGTTTGCGTGCCATTCCCACTGCAAACAGTGGCCTGGGCATCAACTTGTACAGTGCACACAAGATTCCTGCACATTTTCTACTCAGGGAAGGGGGGGCGCGCGATCTGTGGTCTTTATTCGCCTGGTTTTTGGTTTTTGTTGTTCCTTTGTTTCCCCTTTTGCTGCAATCGAAGTTTCTTCAGTGGTGAGTGTGCACTGCACCCCTAACCTAGAGAAACAAAGAAAGCCATTTCCGCACAAAAGATTGCAGCCCTGAAGCGAAGTCCGGCAATTAGCTCACCACAGCCACTGCCTTCCTGCCCCCCGCTGCCCGCCTCTTGCCGTCCCCCTGGGCCTCATCCTTGCATGGCCTGCCCCGCTTCCTGGCCACCTTGTCCGCCCTTGCGGGCGTCTTTGCCGCCCTCTCTGCCTCCCGCGGTGCCACCCGCAGACCTCCTTCTGCAGCCAGTGCCTGGTCCAGCAGAAAGTGGGGCAGCTGTTTCACAGTTTCTGGATTGTAGCCCAGGCCCACAGCAGGGAAGCATGCCCAATGCATCCCCGCCTGACGTTCCAGGGTGGCTGCCTTCAGGTCAGCAAGAGTGACCGTCGTGATCGGCCCCTTCAGGACGTCGTCATCGATCTCGATCGCCTTGAGCGACGGCAGGCCACCTGAATTCATCGTTGAGAAGCTGTTTGCTGGTGGTTTCCTCTTCTTTTCGGATTTCAAGTTTTACATCACTTGTCAATGTCCAGGTGCCTCCCCCTCCTCCCTTCTGACACAAGACATGCGAGCCGCCACCCACCTGATGCCATCCTCAAGAAATTGTTGGCCGGGGTTTTCTTCTTCTTTTTGATTCCAAATTTACATCACAATTCCATGTCCAGGTGCCCTCCCCCTCCTCCCTTCTGATACAAGATATGCGACCACTGTGCAACCCAGCAAAGGAGTGCAAGGCGATAAAACCCCACCCCAAGGTGTTCGCATCCAAATGATTGCTCAGTCTCAAGGAAAACAAATTGCGAGTGTGGTTGCGGCAAGTGGCGCCTGCCACCTCCCACATTGTTGCAAGGGCATTTCGCCTGTTAATGTGCGCCAATGCAATCCCCACAATTGGAAAACGCCCCATATCAAGGCGAGGCAGCCATCAGCACCCCATTTCGTCCCAAGCCAACCGCCCTTTGATGGTTCCCTCTGCTCAAACCTCAGGTTGTTGCAGCGGGACCAGGTGCCCCACCCTGACCCTTCCCCTCATCCCCCCGCATTCCCACCGCTTGGTTAGCAGGGGGTGCCCTTTGCATGACCTGTTTCTTTCTCTCTTTGCAACAAATATGACCCACATTCCAACTGCCCCCTGAGTGCATGTTTGCTTGCCTTTTGAGTTGCTTGTGTTGCGCGCTCATCCTCGCGCATCGGAGGCTCTATATCATCTTTTCACTGCATGGCAAAGAGTCTCGCGTGCACTTGCTTAGCAGGGGGTGCCCTTGGCATGACCTGTGTCTTTCTCTATTTGTAACGAATCTCACACGCATTCTCACCTGACTTCACCAGGTCGTCATAGAACGGCGGGATTGGCAGGCGAACGCCGTTCCCGAGGTCGATGGACCCGTTGTTCCGCCTCCCTCCTCGCTCCCTCTCCCCGCGGCTTGACCCGGTGGCGGATCCCCCCCTCCCCTCCTGCCCGCCCGCCTTCCCGGCCTCCCCGTTGCCGCAGCCCCCGGGCGGCCGCCCGCAGGCCGAGGCCGGCAGGTGGTCCATCCACTGCCGCGACCTCTTCGGTTGGCGGGATCGCGGCCTGGCGCCTCCCTGTACCTTTGGCTCCCCCGCGTTGATCTTCCGGGCGTCCGGCGGGGGCAGTGGGGCGCCCAACACGGGGGAGGGGTCCACCCCGACGCCCAGGCTGGTGCAGGTCTGCAGCTCCTGGCGCTGCACCATCGATCCATCCACCATCTGGGGAGCGTTGCCCGCCAGCGCTGGTGCCAAACCAAACATGCACACACGGGTCAGCGAGGGGATGAGCACCCTGCAAGCAGCCTGTGCCGCCTCACGGATGGAACTTGCTGCGGATGGCATGGCAATATTTGAACAGGATCAGTCAAAGAAAGCATAGAAAACGAAAAATCTCACTGAACACTAGGTCTCTGCGCCACCCCACGGGCGACCGTCGTGCAGGGGAAGTGGCTTCCAAGCACAGCGGGCGCCGGGCGCCGGGCGGCCTGCGGCGGAAAAAGCGGGGCAGAAAACGGTGACCGCTCCGTTTCGTGAAGCGGGGGTCTGGGGAATGGCGTGGGGAGCGGCGGGAGGGGTGATGGCGCGGCTGTCGTGCGGGCGTGGGCGAAGCCGCGGGGATGACGCCGCGGGCGCAGCTGCTGGCGGTTGTCGTCGAGTAGCGCGGGATTGGTGCCCCGGGGGGATGGGGCTCCAGGAGCGTGGATCGCGGCGCGCCGAAAGAGGGCGAGACCCGCATCTAAAGACCGGGGTCCGTGCCGCCAGCTCCGGCCCGCATGAGAGACGCCGGTGCCAGAGTTGTCGCAAACCAGTCCTCCGCAAGGGCACGGAAGTCAGTTCAGTGGCTTTGTCGCCCGCGCAGCGGCATCAGCGGCGTCTCCGCGCTTGCCCCCGGCCAGGACCACATCTCCGCCAGTCAGCATCACCGCCCATCAATCGCCGCCACGCCGCGCCGGCCGAATGCGCATTTAGTGGCGGGCGCGCGCCCGGGCCACGAGGCGCCGCGGGGGGCGCTGCGGTCTCGCGCGGCCACGCTGTGGTCACGCGGGGTGATCGGCCGCGCGTCGGGACCACTCGCGCGATCCCCTCTCGCGAACTTCCGGCAGCGATTTCGGGGGGAGTTCGAGCTCCTAGCGGTCGCCACGGGAGCCGAAAATCGGCCAGCCGGCGGCGAGACGCTGCTGGCCCGAGCAACGCGCAGCGCCGTGGGCTGCCCGCCGCCATTGGCCGACTCCGACACCTCGCGCCACCTCACCGCGGCCATCGCCAGCCCCCGCCACGCACGGCGCGATCAGCCGCAACCCCGCCTCCCTCGCCCGGCAACACCGCAGCTGGCCGGGCCAGCCGCCACGCGCACGCGGCAGCGCCGGCCCTCGCCCCCGGCAGCGCGGTCATCCCCCATCCCCGGCATCCCCCGTCCCCGCGACGCCCCGTGCAACACCCCAGCGCCACCAGATTCGGCGCCAACGGACAATTCCCTCCCCTCCACCACCGTTTCTGTCACTCCCCCCCCCTCCCCCCCCCCACTTCCCTTCCTCCCATCCCCCACCTGTCCCTCTTAACCCTTCCCGGCGCCTCAAAACCCAAACCAGGGTTCGATCCTCTCCACGCCCAGGCGGCGAACTCGATCAGGCCCGCGATCGCGCCCCACCCGGCCCCTTCGGCGATGAGCCGTCCGGATTGAATCGCCGATCGGCGGCCTGGCGGCAATCGGCGGCCGGGCGGCGGGCCTTGCTTGCGTGGAGGCCCGGCTGTGGCGGTGGGCGCTTGGCGGCCAGCCGGCGGCCAGGGGGGGCCGCCCATGGCGCCCGGGTTTATTAACGTACACGCGCCACAACTCAGCGGCGCCCATGGGTGAAGGGAATCCGCCCCCCCACACCAATGGGGGGGGCGCGGGGCCCCGGGCCCGACACGGGGAACCGGGGCCCGGCCCGGCGGGCGCGGCGGGCCTCCGGGTCCGACGGGGGAGACCGGGGACCGGCGGGGGCGAAGGTGGAGGGAAGCTGCGCGGGGGATGGGTGGTCCTGCGAGGCGCCGCGGGGTGTGGGGCGAGCGATAGTTGGGAGAGGGGGGATGACGTCATGGGGCGGTGGGAGCGTCTGGTTTGGGGTTGGTGCCGTTTGGTGGGGGCCGCTTGGGCCCTTTGGCGGCCGAGGGCTGTGTGGTCGTTGGGCCCTTCGCCGCCCGTGGGGGGTGCTGTGGAAGCGCTTGTGGCGGTGGCAGGCGGTGAGCTGCCGGCCCTGTGGAGATGGAGTGGTGCAAAGGTTCCCACCCGTGCTGAATGCCCTGTAGTGAATGCATGTAGTTGAAGTGTGTATCAGGACTCGGTGCCACGGAGGGGTTTACGTTGTGGGAGTGCGCACAGCGCTGTTGTGCGTGGTGGGCGGGGCTGCCCGCGAAATAATATTACTCCCTGCACCAAATCGGTGACTGCTTGCACCAAGTCACGTGCACACTTTGTCCTAACTCAATTTTAGGGTGAGGTTTCGTTTCAGGGTGAGTTTTAGGGTTAGGGTTAGGGTTAGGACAGGTTTAGGTTTAGGTTTTAGGTTTTAGGTTTTAGGTTTTAGGTTAGGTTAGTTTGGACGGAGTTGGACATGATGTGCACGTGACTTGGTGCAAGCAGTCACCGATTTGGTGCAGCCGGTAATTTTATGCCGCTGCCCGCCCGTTCGAGTGGTGTGGAGGCCCGCGTCTGTACTAATAGTGTAGAGGTGGTGGTGTTGTAGTCCGGCCTGCTCCTGTACTTGACGCTTGGCTGCCGGACTGGTTCAGTCGAGCACCAATGCCATCAAAATGAGAAACGGGGGGGTCGTGTGCCAACGCCTTTTTCGCTCCCACGGCGGTGAGATATTTATGGTGGATACACCCCTGCACTGCCACGCTCCAACCCTTACCGCCACCTAGGCATATGTACAGAAGGGCAGATTTTTGCTCTCATGAGCTCGACACGCCCACCCGCATGACGTGCCCCTCTTCATTTTGCAACGAGTCTTTCCTCCCCAAAGAGCATTTCGCCGCCATCAAGCACCAAATCTGTACACGATGGCACGGCCATCATCCCCGGAACACAGCAACGTGTCTGCAGAGCACTCTAACGTCCTCACTGCAGCCCTGTTGGCGCCCAGCCCATACAACACCTCGCCGCGCTCCACGTCCACCACAACCAGGCTGCCGTCCCCACAGCCGCACAGCGCCAAGTTCCCCACAGCCGAAAGGCTGTACGGAAAGTCGCTCAGCGCAATCGCGGCCGTGTCGCAGAACCCACTCCTGGGATCCAACAGCTTCAGGGTCTTATCCGCCCCGCACGTGATGACTAAACCCCCAAAGGCGCCACTGCCACCAATGATTGCCCCCACAGCTCCTCTCCCTTTGTCGTTTGAGTGGAGGGTATTTTTGGCCACGTGATTTTTCTGTCGGGGGTCCCAGGCCCGGACCGTGCCGTCCTGGCCACCGGTCAGGATCAGTGGCGGGGCCCCATGGCCCGGGACGTCGTGCAGGATGGCGATGGCCGTGATGTGACCCTTGTGTATGTTCTTCAGACGCCATGCTGGGCCGCCCTGGCTGACCTCCCAGACGATTACGGAGCCGCCACGGTCACCTGGCCCACAGAACAATCCACTGCTCTATTCCTGTGGATACGTGTCTGTGGATGGAGTTAATCAACTCAATGGCAGCAACAACAGCAATGACAGCAACAACAACAGCAATGACAGCAACAATCACAAAGCCATTTGCGACGCGACAGTTTCGTGGATGCTTTCTTTGGCGCTTCACATCGTAATTTTATTGCGTTTAACATCAATTCAACGATAACTGCACTCATCATTGAAGGGCTGCCACAGTAGTTCCTACTGCATAAAACTATGGAGCCACGTTATGATCACCAAACCCAAACCCACCTGTGGCCACCATTCCGCCACGCCCCACCGCCATCTGCACCACGGGTGCCGCATGTCCCGCCAAACTCGACAGCTGGTGCTGTCGCGACCCCCCCGCGTCCCACAGCCGCACCGTCTTGTCGTAGCTGCACGACGCCACCACCTCGGAGGCACCCAGAGGCGCCACCTGCAATATCCCAGCACTTGTCATACATTGTAGACATCGTTCATTACAACAAGGCTTCATGTACCTGACTTTTACCATGCTGCTCCTTGTGTCCATAGCCTTTTCCATGAGACTGGTCGGGATTTCAATATTGGTGTCGGCTGCAAGGGGTAAAGAAAGCACTTGCGCCAAATTTGGCCACGGTGGCAGCGCGTAATGCCGCTGAAAACCCGTTGACGTTGCTGCCATCCTTGATATTCCGACACTACATCCCGAAGTTGTGGCATCTTTGGTACGCAATGAAAGGAGGGGCACCTGCGAGATGGGGCCGCTGTGGCCTGTCAGGTCGCTGCAGCGGGTGGTCCCAGGGGCCCAGAGGCAGAGCTTGCCGTCCATGCCGCCAGATACCACGCGTCCGGCCGGGGTGTGCGCCACACAGGTCACCCATCTGCGGTCGAGCACAGGCACTTTTCTATGTGATTTGATATTTGGATTGAGGGAATTCAGGCACCGGGGCACGCGTTCAGGCAAACGAACGGCAGCTTTGGTATTTCATGGACGTGTGAAGGGCGGCGCATTCGGGCATTGACTCTCTGGCAGGAGGAGCATTTCGCCCTGTTGTTGTCCGTGTCTGTACTCCAAACAATGATTGATGCCTGGAAATTATGTTGCGGCTGTGCATATCGTGCTCAGAAGGCATTTAACTGCATGATCTTAATCCATGTTCGTGATGGCGCTGCTACCAATGCTGGTACATTTGCCAGCGAGCGAAGCGGGCGGGGCTTTTCTTTACTTCAGCCAAATTTTACACATGTCTATATTCAGGTTTCCAGGCGACATTGCCAAGGCTGGTGTATTGATGTGGCACCGCGCTGGTGGGGGATCTCCGACCAGCGCTGAATCTATTCAACGGCAAGTGTCATTGAGCAAGCGAAAATTTGCTGCTGAATGACGCCAAAAAGACTACATGCATGACAGGCTGCCGCATTGACAATGCGTTGCGGCTTAGGGCTGCCTTCTCTGCTTGCCAAGATTACCGTTCCCATGGAAATCCACCACCTTCTCCAATGCCAGCTTTCCAGCAGCAGTGACGATTTCCACATCGCTCAATGGGCATGACCACACATGCACACGTCATTGACAAGCGGCTGCATCTGTCGCACTCATCCTGCATGCAATTCCACCGACCAATTGTGCAATGCGACCTTGGCCGTCGCACTCACTCTGTGTGGCCACAGGCCTTGGTGTACAGAGTGCGAACTCGCTGAGCCGTGTCCACGTTGATGACGTAAAGCGCGTGGTCCGACGATCCGAACACCGCTTCCCTCGATGCCCAGTCAGCGCTCGAACACAAGATGGGCTGATCGGTCAGTTGGATCAAAGAGCCTGCGTGTGGAAAACCAATGACTTCTGACAAAGAGTCGGGCGATTTGGCGCACGGCCATTCTGTCAAAATATGCCGGAAGTAGAATATATGAAAGTGCAATCATTGCATTTGATGACCATCCAACGCTGCCGAACTTGTCAAGGATGCACCTGCGACACGTTGGTGATTACCAATTCGTCAGGCAATCAAGTTGTCCATCAATGAGGCTCTTGATGTTAAGTCAGTACTCACTCAAATAAAGTAGCTTGCGCTCCGGAGCCAAAATGCGAATCAATTGGGATGGTGCTCATGATCAAAGGGGATAGATTCTGAACAGATGGATGAACAGCAGAATTTGGAATGAAAACCATTCACGCCCGTAATAGAGTTTGTAACGTGCTTCTGCGATTCCACATGACAACAGTTGGAAAATGAAACGAGGTGCGTATCTTCGAGACAGAATTGCCCCCTTGACTGGAAGACGTGCTGCTAAAGTTTTCGGCAACAGTTGTCATTGCCATGCTCAACAACCAGACTGAAGTCTGGCCGTTGTTTGCATAATGGCACCCACACCAGTGCTTAAAATCGTGGTCATGCTTCGACAGTTTATTTGGTGCGCTGTAAGCTACATGCGACCCGTGGCCCCAATGCTGTGTGGCTCCTTGCGAAACAGCGATACTGTGATCCAGCCTGCCGACTCGAACTGGTCTACTAGCTGGGAACAGATTCGCGTGTGTTCTCACAGGAATGGCATCCATGGCATCCAGGGCCTCGAATTCGATACTTAAGGAGGAAAAACGTTGATCGCACACTTTCGAGTCCATCTCGTCAGTTTCCCAGCTGCAGGAAGCAGGCAGTAAATATGCAATTACAAGGCGAATCCCATCAGTGTAGAGGTTTGTCCAATTGCTATTGTTTCTGGACATGAAGGCAATGAAGGGGTAATGAAGGTTATATATGCAACAACCCGAAAACGTAAAAAACAACGACTCTAAAATCCGAAAGTGGCGTTTGTGACCTTTATAATGAAGCGTATCAGGCATCTGCGCCAATGTATGGAACGGTTTTTGAGTCAGAACCAGCGAGTTTCCCTTTCTTACCCGTCCCCTTCTCACCAAACGAAAGTATTCATCAATGCACTGTATCACCAGCAGTTTCCACAGCAGACATCGGATGCTTTTACCTATTGGCAAAACAAAGAGCTGGACCCAGAAATACCTGCAGGATCCAACGGTCCCGATCTCCAGCCCGTTGTTATAGAAGGTGGGTATTTCGGCCTTGGATCCTGGTTCAGTTGCTGCAGAGTGGCAGATGCCAGAGGAAGCACTCCAGTGGTGCCATCGACACTACTTTTGTTGGGCCGACTGGCTGCATGTGTCGACCCCAATCTGCAAGTGCATCACCAGCTGCAACAAAACTCAGCATCTATTTCCAGCAAGCTTATTCCCATTCATGAACTGAGAAGGTCAAGAGTCCTGTTTTGGGCAGTGATGAGTCCAGCAAGGGATGTCCAGCATGCCATGTGCTGCTCCTGAGAATGTTGGCGATATCGGTGCAGCTTGTGACTTTGCACTGCCTCGCCAGGTGACACCCGTGTCTATTCTAATAGAGCAGGATGTATGCCTTGTCATGTCGATGAGACTGCAGTCTCTTCAGCAGTCTGAGTTTTGGGTTTAGGAAAATTCAGCAAAGATCTAGGAGCAACTGCATGCCTCAGGTTGGTGTTGCACCTCATCTCTCAACTGTGTTACAAAAGTTTGGAAGGATAAGAAGCACAGTTCAGAATGGCAGCAAAGGAGGGCAGGCATTGCTGTAAGACTGATTGGGTCCAAGAGGTGTACACTCCTCAATGACGCACTACTGGTGCAGCACGGCAGCCTTTTTTCTTTTGAACGAATTCATAATGGTTACTGTGCAGTCACAAACCGTAGATCAAGTGGACCCCCACCTCCACACTCAGGTGCTCGATCTCTTTCAACTCAACATTGCCATGCAGTCTTTTGAGAGGTAGCACAAGGCAGTGTTTTTAGCAGGTTCCTGAGGGATACTTTTAAAGATGAATTCAAACACCCATTCACATCCACCCCAGGGGTGTTGTATTCCTTCCCATTCCTTGCACATTCCATGGACAACAGTGGGTTTGCAGAAATGATGGACGTTGAGGTTGCAGATTGTTTCAAGATCCACTGAATAGGATATAGGCACTTTATGATGCTGATACTGCATGTTTCTAATCGAATGCACAAAAAGCTCCCACCAGCACCCCAGATAGGTCCCTGTTTATTCCCACCTGCCCGCCTCCCCCACTGACAGCCCACCCATCTTACGCCAAGCATCCTCAAAATCAGCCATGTAAGCATCGTTCGCTTCATGTGAGCGAGCAGCAGACAAATCGCGGTTTCCTTCGCAACACCACGATGGTTCTTATGCAGAAGGAAGTCGGCTGCACCTGATTGTCTTTCCAATAGAATAGAGGTTACGCGATGCGCTGGACAATATCTTGCGACGGGTAGGGGAACGTGATATGCAGTGGGCAACCCCCTCCCTGAATGAGCTCACATCAACGCTGCAAGCTCCTTGCTGAAACTCCAAGCCTTTTAGCAGTTTGATGTGGGGTTTTAGGGCAGACAAAGCACTGGAGAGCTTGAGAATTCCAGTTAAAGGACTGAAGTTCAGCCAAAAGACTCATCATTACTGCATACCCTCCTGGACAAGAGTTCGCTGGATACCTTGTGCTACGTTGCCGGAGACAACTGAACGTATGAAGGACAGACAAAACTTGCACGTCATAGACGTACAGGAAGATGGATGCATGGCTGTCATGGCCTGCGAGTTGCAAGGGCTCTGCCTTGTCTTGCCCCGGGAAAAGCAACGCGATGCGCTTGGCCGCAAAATGCGATGCAAACGCTTCTGTGCTCAGCAAGGACGCAACAACACGCAGCTCCTTCGCCCTGCGGACCCTCCATGCCTCAGGCGAGGCGCCAGGAACGTCTTCGAGGAATCATACTGCCACTGGTCAACAGAAATTTCCGAATTCACACCAAGTAGAATCAAATCGTGCGATGAATTCGTGCCACGTTTTCTCGAAATCAAAGGGAGCGGAAGCAAAGCCCCTTGCGAAATCATTCTCAAGCGCACGGGTCCGACCGATCGTAATCGCCCACAAGGTGCAAGGCACCGCTGTATCTTAGAAAAGCCATGTCAAACAACGGATTTTTAGTAAGCGAATGGGCACGGCGGGCCGAAAGACGCCCGCGATGCCAACCGCCAATCCAACGCACCAGTTCCCCTCTGCGACGCTGGGCCGCCCCGCCCCTTGTGCCTCGCCGGTCCGCTCATTGCCGTTGTGTCCGGCGGGAAATAACCACAGTGGCCCAGATGCACGTCCGCCCTCTCGATCTGTACTGTATCTTGACTGTTTGATTGACACACGCCCCCCAACTTGCGAGCGAACCGAGGGCGTCGAATTGCCGATCGTCGACCGTACACTCTGCGCGGTGGCCTGAACTACCCACTGGGACGGCCCTGGTGCTCGCCACCGCTCAGTGCGGATCCTGCCAAGCCGAGTGCAGCCCTGGGGATCCGGCGCTGTCGGGAGTCGTCGCGGGGATGGCTTTGGGCGGGACCCGCTGCGGCCTTTGGCCGCGTGGCAAACTTTTAGGTGCGCCAGGGGCGCCGTAGGTTCTTATAACCATCAGCGTCGGAAAATTTTACCGTTGCGCTTTTTGCTCCGCATTTGCTTTTCAGTGGCGCTATTTTTACCAATTTCGCGCTGCTCCGCCGACATTTTATTGAAAGAGCATTGTTTTGTAATTTTTCTCCGCAAAAAAATGGCCAAGCTTAACGTCACAATACCCAAGTGTTTAAAAACCTGCGACACTTGAAAAAGCGCCCCGCCCGCAACAGCTGCTGATCCCACAACCGGATAGTGTGGTTCGACCGTCGCCAGGGCGCCAACAGAGCGGCAATCGGGGAGCGCCGTAGTTTAGCGCAGTTGTAGTTTCGCGACGTAGTTTAGCACAGTTGTAGTTTCGCACAAAACCACCAGACCACCCGATTGAGGCACCGGTCTTCGGCAGAAAGACCTCCTCCTATCAGCAGCCCCACCTCTGCGACTCAAGCCTTCCCCACGACCCGTTCGGCCTCTCGCCGTTGGCCGCTCCCCACCTTGACCCTTGGGACACCGCCGCCTCGCATCCATGAAGCGCGTGCTGGAGAACGGCGCCGACCGGGAGGAGGCGGAGGTCCGCGTGCCGCGCGTCAGCGCCAGGGCAGGCGCCGGCCCAAGGGGCGGCTACAGGTGCTGGGCCAGGCCGGAAGGGGCGATCGGACGCAGAGGGCGATCCCGTTCAAAAGAGCCGCTTCGATGTTGCTTCCCTGCGACTGGGCGGTGGCGGATTTTTGGCCCCGTGGGGGGTTTGTGCCGCCTTTGGAGCGACATGTGACGTGTGCCCTTGCCCAAGGGGGAGACAAGGATTCACTAAAAGCTGTCCTTAGTTGTGCGGTTTGCTCCTTGGCGCCCGGAGAGCTCTACGCTAAAATACAGTCGGGCGACGATGTCGCTGAGGGCATCGCGGGTGCTGCGGAAGACGGTGCTTCTTTCTGTGGTGCTTGCGCAACTGTGACCTGCGGAAATCAGGGTTCCCCTGGGGTGGGATGAATTGTTGACATGCTGTGCGGCCCTGTCGCGTCGCGACGGCCCTCGGTCCCCTTGCCGCGCGCCTCTCTGGTAGCAACTCAGGCGCGTGTGAATCGTTGTCGCACGTGTGGAACAAGATTCCATGCACCCATCTTCGCTGCAGGGAGGGAGGATTGGCCCCTGTTTGGGAGCCGTGAAGTATCGCGGTAGCGATTGTTGCCTTGGACACACGGTTGCTAGCGATTCTCTTGCTTCAGCCGTTTCCACGTTGAAAAAACAGAGTTCCGCTCCAAGTCGGCGACAACATGCACACACGCTCCCAAACTCCTGTTTGTTCGTGTCTCGTTCGTTTCGCCAACACCAGCCTCGTGTAGCACGCACAGGACGGCAGCCCACCTTGCTGCCCACGATCGCTCGGGGCCTTCACACTGGGCTTGTACACATTCCAAACGTTTGTTGCTCCATGCTCCTGTTCTTCCAGAAGCACTCACTTATGAGGGCGCACAGAAGCTGGTCTAATTCCCTGTTTGTGGCTCCGAAGGGGCGGCAGGCCCGACGATGGGGCGCGGGGGCAAAGGGACGTGCACAACGTGGAGATGAAGGCGGAGATCTTTGCCAAGAAGAGCATGGCCGGGGCTGTGATCGGCCGGGGCGGGGACAGGGTGCAGTCGATCCGCAGGAACACGGGGTGCCAGGTGCACATCCGGAAGGGCAGATCGGATGAGGCTGAGCATGTGGTGGAGTTGAAAGGGAAGAAGTCACAGGTGGGAGCACAGATTCAGTGCAGCAAGGAAAACTAAACATGTCGTTAAATGGAACATGCTCTGTTATTTGTGCCAAGACGTTGCATCAGACCCAAGAGCCCAAGTGCTGGCCCCTTTGTAACACAAGAGATGTGGGGCGGGGGGGGGACCAGCCTCGCTGAGCAAAGGATGGTGAGATGACACAGAAGTCAGGGAAGCTCCCTTGTCACAAAGTTAACGAAGCTTTATCCCTATTTTTCCACGGTGGTAATGCGCAATAGCAGAGAGCTCTGGGACGTACAAGGGCGATGCAGCATGGTGACTCAGTTCGAATGGTGAAGAGAGTCCAGTGAGAAGAGCGAGTATCCTGGCAGATTCACTAGCATGTGAGAAAAGACCAACGAGGTATGATGAATGTGAAATCTGTGAGAGTGACCTTGGAAGATACTCACTCTGACAGGTGGGGATCTTGCAAGGCAGTCTATTGCAATTTGCTGCAGACATTGCTGAGTGCACAACATTGTCAACAGTATCGATTGCGAGTCAGTCAGGAATGAGCGCGCTGTTCAGTCACTCAAATGAACTCTGGCAGGGTGGCTGTGGTATAGGCGTGGGGACCATGAAGGAGAAAGCAACCCCAACACACATGCCAGAGTAGCGTGTCTAGTTTGAAGCGCTGTTGCACAGTTTTTTCACTACATGCAGATAGTCCTCAAAAAGTGCCAGTGCTGGTCAGAGCCCAAACCATTGTATGCCTTGTGGCGGATGTTGCAAGTTGCACGCTGGGGTTTGTGCGGGGACAAAATGTGCTCCTTGACATTTGCAGTACTGCACCATGGCAGTGTACTGGTGATAGAAAGTTTTGTACGACAGTAAACAGATGTTGACGCACTGCTTTTGCACGTTGAGACATGGACCATACATTGATCTATGTTGAATTGCAATCCAAGCTGTGCATATGTGGTGCATCCAAGCCCTCTGAGCAAGATGGCTGTTGAGGCAGGGGATTTAATATTGGACTGTTTGTGTACGAGGCTAAATGGGCTTGAGACTGTTGTGGGCCACTTCAGCAAGGAGGTGGCGTTTGGTGGCCCCCTGAGCAGCTCGTGTAGTGCTTGTTCGATCCCAACAGGCTGGTTGGCATACAGTGTGGCAGAAACAAGTTTCTGCTGGATATCTGAACGGAAGCAGTGTCCGATTTCTGTGTTCCACACCGACCTCAATAACAGCAGCCCTGAAAGCCCAACTCCAACATCGTCAGTGTGCAGTATGGAACCAAGGCCCCCCCTGGGCATCCTACCGTTTAATGACGTCAGGGTTATGTTCGTTCTTTGCTCTAGAAGGTTAAGCACAAGCCTGTTGTGAGTGTTAGTCCGAATTCTTGCCACCAGTGATCGGATTGCTGCTTGGCACCAAGATGGGAGATGGCTTGTTTGCTTGGCACAGTTGAGATCACCTTGACCGGGTATTGGCAAGAGAGGGGTGGAGTGGGGGAGGGGGGTCTGTCGAAGAAACAACAGTTGCATGCCGTTCCTTTGTGCTGCAACTGCAGTTGCCACATTTGTGACTGTTGCGCAGATCGAGGCAGCTCTGGTGGAAGTCCAGAATGTGTTTGCAGAGGTGGACCCTGAGTATGCACGGGAACACCCCGGCATCTCTGTGGCCAGCGTGCAACTCAAGACGCTGCCTGAAATGGTGGGCTGCCTGATTGGGCGCAAAGGCGACAGGGTGCGCAGCATCCAGGAGTCTTCTGGTGCCACCGTGAAAGTGCACAGTGAGTGGCTTCATTTCCCCTTTTCTGTTGCTCTTTGTAAGTGAAAGCTGTATCAACGTTGAGGGCCTAGGCACACACACACACACACACACAAACACCCTGCGCAACCACCTGCCTGGCATCAAAATGTTGGCGTTGTGCCACCTCACCAGGAAGTGAGGGCCGATGAATGCTCAACTGATGGAATGCCTGAAAATGAATGCATAAGCTTCGTTCAAGATGAGAGTGTTGCACTCAGAGGGAGGGCCTGGTAGAACAGCAATCACAGGGAATTGCAATGGCCGGTTTGTTGCCTCTTATTGTTGGTCCTTGACACTGTTGTTGATAATCAGAGTGGATGGATAACTACCACTGTTTTGTACTTTGTTGGTGTCTTGTGCTGGAAGCTCTCAAACATATCCACCTATTATTGGCATTGCCACAGAGTATGTTTTTGTGGTCTCGGGATGCATGTGAGTGCATACAGGCAGTGCATGAACGAACATCACGAATCTATGAAGGAATGAACAAGGGGCAAACAGACAGTTGGGATGTTTCTATGCCTGTCATTTGCTACAGGGTGCAAGGTTCCGCTTCGCCTTGTGATGGCAAATGTACCAAAAGGAATTTGTGAACAATAAATGCGTACATGGGGCAGTTGTTTAATTGCAACCACGCATTTCTGCACTTGGGCTGTTATACAGGGGCTTGGACAGATGCGCATTTATTTATTTTCTGGGAATTCTACGCAATATGCACTCATGACATGAAGTGCGGATGGTCTGCTAAGGGCACTGCTGATGTCTTGAAAGTGCTGATTTGTCAACTCTTGTATGGCCCTCTGCATGTTTGAAAGACAAAGTACAGAATGACACCAGTTTGCACTTGAAATGTGAAGGTCTATGGGAAGCCTTCTTTTGAAGATCTGTCTACTCTATTGTGCAGAACTGGTGGAGGGAGAGAAGATGCAGGACGTGTTTATTTATGGCACGCTTGATGAGGTAGACAAGGCCCAGGAGTTGGTGAGTGCTGTGCTCCACACAATTTCCGACCCATGTCACAATGATAACCATGGGCAGTTGGTTGGAATTGCGCTTACACAAGCTGTCGAGGGCCAGTTCAGTGCAGGGGCACCCAAGCAGGCGCAAACCCACCACAGCCAAATTTTGGATTTTGAACCTGACACTTTGGAACAGGTGTCATGCAGGGTTGTCTGCACACGCTGCTCAGCACTACAAGGCAGCTTCCACTTCCCTTTGCACACGACCCTAGCTGTACACTGCAATAAGACATGGTCCTGTCAGCACAGCATGCACGCATAACAGAATGTAGACTGTGTGCAGCTGTGAGAACCTACGAGCGGAGATGAACACTACAATCCTTTAGTACAGGGTACGCATCAGCATGAAGCAGATGTTGCAAGTAATTTTCCTGTTCCACAATGCATTATTTCCTCAATACCAATAATTCCTTGACATTTTGCACATGCCTTCCTGCATTGTCAGGTGACTGCCGCCCTTCTGAGTTACGACCCCGACAGGTCCAGGAACCGCCGTTTGGAGCCTGTACAGCGGAACACTGTGATGCCAGAGCCCTTGTCTGGGGGGCGGGTGATGCAGCAGAGCACGGTTCTCGGTGGCCAGACCATGCTTCCCGGCTTGGCCCAGACAGCGGTGGTGGCGCCCGCACCCGCGCAGCCACAGATGATCTTGCAGCAGACTCCAGGTTCGTGCCAGATTGCCATGTGCAGACAGACACAGTTTGCTGCAGCGCTTTGAGTTTGTCTTTGACAAGACACAGCAGCGGCTGCATACATAATTTGCACATGTTGGGTTGCACTGAGTAGCGATAGTATCAGATAATATAACACAACCAGATGACGAGATTGCTGGGTGGGCGCATATCACAATGTGGATAACAGCTTGTTCAGAAGATACTGGTTTATTGCTTCCTTTTTTGAACATCGTCCATTGGTATAACAAATACCACTGTTGACAGTGCCTGTCCAGCAGTCTTGTTGGATTGTGAATTTGGTCAAACCTCCGTTGGGTGAATGTACCCTCACAGGCAACATGAGAACTGTCAAGGTGGTCATGCCCTGAGTCTGTGCTGTATTAAGATGGGCAGCAGTGTCTCTTTGCGACAAGAGCCACCATTTGCATGCAGTGTGATTTGATATTTCGGAAAAAGAAAACACGTGTTTGCATGAGGATCATGCAGACATGCACAAGCGCACAAGACAAAGCTAGCAGCTAAGTCTGGGTACCCCTCTAAACAGGTTATCATTCGGCAGCCCGCTTTTCATTTGTGTTCAGTCACTGACTTGCAGCTGGGTTTCGTTTGGGCCATCCTCCTCTGCCTGCTTCTCTCAGTTGTGTTTTTTTTGGCACTCTATTGTGCTTTTTTTGGCTGATCAATTTTGGACTCAGCCAATGCTTCGGCCCAGATGCTCTGAGATGCTCGATTGGCCAACTTCTCATTTCACAGATCTTTCACAGACCATCGCAGTAGCCAGCTGCATTGCTGCACAAGAAACAAACTTCTTTTCCTAAGTGCAGCCAACAATGTGCATGTTTCACTTCCCTTGGCACTATCAGCTTGGACTTCTGTTGCTTGACACCGCGGGCCTGCCTTCCACCCAGGGGCCCTTGCACAGCAGTCCACCATGCTGCTGCTGCAGGCGGACGGCACCCTGATGCCGATCAAGGTCCTCAACCAGGGCATGCCCACGGCGGCCACAACGGCCACGCTGCCTGGCCAGACGGCGACGATTACGCCCCAGCTGATCGGCCAGGGGGGCACCACCCTGCTAACCCAGGCGCCCTTTGGCGGGCTGGCGACCAGCCCAAGCCCTGCGCAGACGATCGTGCCTATGGGCACCATGGGCGGAGCCGCGGGGCTGGGCATGGGACTCGCTGGCGGGGGCCCGGTGGACTTGGTTGGACAGACTGTCAACCAGGTGAGCAGAAGCGCGTTGTGCAGTAAGGTGCAGGGCAGCTTACTGGTGTGTAAGATGTGAGACATGATGTACGAATGCGTGGATAGACAGGACATTATGTGCAGACGTGAATGTGTGGCCAGAGTGGACAGAATCACTGCGTGTCCGTGGACGACCTGCCATGAGGTTATAACCTTGCTTTGCCTGCTGTGCACGGCTTCACACTGGGAACTGTGCCAACGCCCAAATCACACAGCTTCCATCTGAACTGTGCTCAAACATTGTAAATGTATGCTTTGGTGTTGTAAAACGTGTTTGTGGGGGCTTCTTGTGCAGTGGCACTATTGGCATTGATGGCCAGTGTGAGAGTTGCCAGCAACTGCCTGACCTGTTGATCCATTGCGCAACTTTGAAATGGTTTGCGCAAGCAGGCAGTGTTCGTTCACGGTGGCTTTTTTCCCTGCATGCTGCCCATGACTCAATTTTCATGGTGCATTCAGATTCTGCTCCACAAGTTTGCAGCATGGAATTGTTCCTAGTGGTGCCTTTTCCATGGTCCCCTCTGTCCCCAAACTGACTTTTCGCAGTGCATTCAGGCATATCTGCATCATTTCACTATATGGACTAGTGTTTTAGAAGCTTGCCCAGAAGGGTGATGCATCTCTTGTACAGCATGTCTTCATATTGTTGAGAAGTTGTTGGTGCACTGTGCAGACTGGGAGTGGCAGAAAGATTCCAATGACACAGGGCCGCCTGTGATTGAGGTGAGTGGATGTGTGTTGTTTTGGTGGCACTGTTAGTAGCAATGCAGGCAATCCACACAATGCAAGCAATGCTTGCAGTGTACACAATGCTGGCCATTTGGGCAGTGCACGCATTGTGCACATGCAGGCATTGCAGGCAGGGCGGGCAGTACACATCCTTTGAATGTATTGGCATTGACTATACAATCGTGCTACAGCCTACTGTCATGGTTTGCGTGCAACTTATTCCAAAAGCTTGCAACATTTGCAACGCTGACACAGCCTGGGTTCAGGGCGCGTGCAAGAGTGTTGCAGGCTTCAGCAACCAATGCAGACTAGTTGATGAATGTGGAAATTAAGCACCTCGCTGTTTGCCACTGTCCGTTGTGTCAGCAACCCAGTTACTTGGCGCAGCAGTGCACACTGTGATGTCTGCGCTTGGTAGCCCACTCTGGTGTATGACCCGTGCAGTCCAGAAACAAGTGGGGGTCAGAAACTTATTGGCAGTTTGGCCACCTGGCATGGAACCCAGCCTTGAGCGAAAGCTTGATAGCGAATTAAAGCTCAACAGCCACACCCAAGCAACCAGATACTGAAACCACCATTCAAGGACAGTCTTGCTCATGGCCCCAGTCTGTACCAAGAGGCCCTGGCATGAGCAAAAAGGCGCGAAATGAAGACAGATTGACAAGAGGCTGACCTTTCGCCCCTGAAGCAATTTGTGTGTTTCACAATCAGTCCAGATGCAGCAGAAGATGGCAGACAACAGTATCAGCAGTATCAACCGCAAACTGCCATACCTTACAGGAAGAGCTGACAGGCGTGAAACAGGACAGACTAAGGGGATGCAGCAGAATTGCCCTGGTGCCAGTTATGCGCAAAAATGCCTGCGCCCAGAATTGCCCATGACACAGATCAATCGAATGTTGCAGCTGGGAACTGCCTCATTTGGCTTGAGTGCTGCCTGAACAGCACAGCGGCCTTGCGCTTAAGAAGCAAGTGTGCAAGTGGCAGCTTGGAAGGAGGGCAGCGTTCATGTGAGCAACAACTGACAGCCGAACAAGACAGCGCTTGCACTTGATGTGCGCATCAGGGACAGCAGTTGATCTGGGGATTGCTGTCAAAAGTCCCTAGATGTCAATGTTGTGAAAGGGGGCAGCCAATGTTTGGGTACCTGCAAGCTGTGGATTACTGTTTTGAGCATGCCCTAGAGAGGGTGGCACCAGCCAGTGCAAGGGGGATGTGCTCCTTGTCCACCAAAGTGAACAAAAGCGATGTTGGTCGTTATTGGTGCCTGTCAAAGAACAACCGGAGTGTGTCCTCTGTAGTGGCTGTTCATTCAGAACCTGTTTTAAGTGTGCGCTGCAGAACGTTGAGGGATAAGCAGGAATGGGTTGAATGCCCATCAAAGGATGGCAACCCTTCCGTTCGGACGGGCTGCATACCTCCAGGCAATGCGCAACAACCACCAGTCAGGTCCAGACTAACTGCATGTACCCGTTGTTGCCTCTTGCCGAAACTTGGCAGGAAACGCCACGCACCTTCTAGGCGATGAAACACAGCACTGTATCCAGGCGCTATCCCAAACTGCTCCTGCTGGAACTTACAGCGAAAAAGAAGGAAAGCTAGAGGACTACAAAGGAAATACAAGATGAAAACGTTGAACTATGAATGGAGAGGGACTGCCTGGTTCTGTGTTACATTCAGACGATCAAGTATTTGCGAAAGCTGGCCATCCACAGGGCCCACTGGTGGAGATGCAGCTTGAACCTGTTGCCGCTGGTCTGCAGCGATAACTGAGCCCTCTGCAGACCGCCGTTGTGGAAGCCATTTGATTCCTTGCTCCAATGTGGCCCAACACTTTCTCAAGGACCCACCATGCAACGCACTCAGTCAGTCAGACATTTGGTCAATGATGCTTTCAGCCGATCAGCCAGCCAGCCAACCAACCAGTAATTGAAGACTCCAATTGCATGATGAGTTAACGTCGGTTGCCACCCTGCCTTTACTGTTGCAACACAGCAAGGCCCATGCATGTCTCTGTACAACGTGCAGACCGTACAACGTTGTCTCTGTACAAGCCCAAATGAAACAGAATCTCACTTGCACCTCTCCTGTTGTCCCTCCAATTCCGGCCAATGTTTGTGTCTGCACCGAACTGCTTCCACTGAGAAATGTTTCCACGGAGATCTCTGAGAAAATGAGACCACAGTGCCGTCATCCTCGAAGGGAAAAAAGCTCGACAACTTACGACAAAACGGCCAGGTGGATTGGGTTGCCGTACATTTTGCCCGCCTCTGGATGAAATGGCCTCGAAGCGAAGTTCACGTGCAGGCCACGGAATTGTCCCAGCGTTGATCCATGGACTGTTGTTGCCCCAAAGTGACCACCACAGTTCTTGTGTCTGTGAAGCGACGTTGGCAAACATGGCCGAACGGAATGGCCAGCGCACGAACCCACAACGCCGAAGCTCAAAGCGTCATTCTGCAGTGTCACAGTAGCACGGGCGTGCGCCAGTGGGAAGGAAGTGCAAGGAGTGCGCGCTGCGTTTTGTGCGCTCACCTTAACAATGCGCTCTAGCATGCTATACGTACGGTCGGTGGACCGTGCCAATCGGCCGGTGTCGCCCCACCAACAGTGCATCGTCGGAATGTGGGCGTGTGCATATATGCGGGAGACTGCACGCACCAGTGCCGCCTGCCATCCTACAATAGCTTGTGAAAGAATGGGCCAAACATTGAAACGGGCGGTATTGCCAAGGATGTCGCGTGTCATCAGCGATGTGCCCCTCCACGTGTTCGCATTTCTTAGTATGGCGCCCGCCAGCCCGAATGAGCCCAACAACACGGCAGCAGCAGCTCAGGTGTTGCACAGCAAACTTGCCAACCCAAACTCAGGTGCAAGCCCACCATATGCCAGAATTTGCGTTGCGTTCGGTCTTAGGCGTTCCCTCCGTTTGCCCATTTCGTCGCCCACCATTGCAACCAAGGCGCGAAGGCGCGCGATGTGCACCGCAAAGGCAGTTTTGTTCGAACGCAACTGTTCGAAAGCCCTTCAGCCACGGCGGTGCGTGAACCACCATTCCCGCCCAATTCTCTCCCTGCTTCCCCGTGAGCCCGTGTGCCCGAGACTGCGGTGGCGGTGGCGGCGCCTGCCAATGCAGTTGGCTCCAGTTGCGCCAAGTCCTTAGCTGCCCCCTTGGCATTGCGATCACGTCAGCCAAACAAAAAAACTCAGCTGAAAGTCCGGCGAATCAGGAAGGAAATAGCCAAGGAAGCACGGCTGCCACAACGCACAGACCTCATCTGTCAGAACTGCATTGTTTTCTCGGGTTTTTTAACGGAAATTTTTTTAATGGAAATTCGTTATGCTTGAATCGTTTGAATTGCTGTGAATCGTGCACCCGTGGTATAAAACGCAACCAGAATCGAACCAGATCACGTAATCTTACTAAACCCAGATTGGTATACTGGTGCTGGATGACTGACAATCTTGTGAATAAAACGATGCGCAATTGTTTAATCGTGTTGCTTGTGCCAATGTACACCAGGCCGCCTTGCACTTGAGCTTGTCGGCTTAATTCAGTGCATGTGAGATCTCCTGAATTTGCTGCAGAAGTACCCTGATGCTGCCCTTCACGTGTATTTCATTCTGTATTGCAGCAGTTACATACTAAAGTGAGCAGAAGCCGTAATGTACCAGGCATGTGCTGTGGAACCGTGTTGAGCCTGTGGGAGTGGCGAACTTGTGAGAGTGCAGCCCCATCCGTACTCATGATGACAATTCTGTGGTGAAAATTGAAGAACGCCAGTTTGCGCATTGTTGTGCCCTCTATTGGATTTACTCTCACAGGGACATATGGTGCATTAGTAATTGGAAGTCCTGCCCAGCATGGTTAAGTTTGTTGCCACAGTTCAGCGTAAACTTGCATTATCCTTGGAAATGTTTGGGATGCACACACGCCACAACACACAATGCCCCCACAGTTTTTAGAGCGCACAGACTGCTGCGCCGACTCCCGTTCTCAAGGCTTGGTGCAGAGGGCTTTCAGCACTGGCACTGCGCAGTTCGTGCCACACATGTCCCCGCGCCAAAACTGTGAGGGCAGGAATGAAGGATGGTCGCAGCAGTGAGGACGACGCAAGAAATGTTCACTGTAAAGCAGGTGTGGAGAGATCCGTTGCCAAAGATGACGAAACGCTTCCTGTGCACGCACAGCTGCCTGTGCCTCCAAGTCGGCGTCAGGCATGAGCGTGCACACGGAAAGCCAAATTTCATCACCACTCGCTACCTGCAGAGCTCATAACCAAATGGCATCTGCTGCAGGACTCGGCGTTTGATTCTCGTTCTCAGATCAAGTCCAATCCGAGTGATTATGTGTTGGGTGATGTGGCGTAGAGCATATGCCCAACACATGCAGGAGATTGAAATTAGCTGAGTCAATGCGATAATTGGGAATATGGCGAGAGTAGGCCAGGGATTTGCTTTTCTTATGCCATTGCAAGTAAGAACCCGCCGACCGCCATGCGGCACCATGGTGCTGAGGAATGGCCTGGCTGGCGGCCAGAGGGCACAGCGTGCGGGATCGGGCCGTTCCCTGAGGGCCTGAGCTGAAGTGAACAGTAGGCTCCAAAAAGCCAGCAATTCCATCCCGACGTCTCCTAAAGACGGCACAAATGTTGGTGTCCAGAATCACACAAGCTTGCACACACAAGGTTACACAACGTTACACAACGTCCAGCTCACCCTCAACCACCCGGACACAGAAACGAAAGGTGTACAATCAAGTCCATTTCACAGCTCTCAAACCGTGACCGTGACAAGAAGAATGGCGGGCATCCTCGCTGGGCATTGCGTCCACGATGCTCCAACAATTCACTTACGGCAAGTCTGGTGTCTGGATTTGATGGAGAGGGCAAGGTTGTCAGGATGGGCGGGGGTGGGGCGAATAGAGTGGGTTGGTTGGGATGGGGGATGGGGGAGGTGGGTGTGGGTGTGATGCTACCACACGCCGAC